CCATAGTACGTGAAAACTTGTGTCTCATAACGTCGTAAATATACCTGTGAATAATCAAATTACAGGTGTTAATGCTTATTCCAACATAAATATATGACTGACTAGAAAATAGGTAAACGCCCTGACATTTACTTAGATTAACCATAAATGGCGATCCTCTTTCGACCATAAACATCAAAACATCAAGCACACAGTGTATAAAAATACGTGTAGTCGTTTTTGATTCTAAAGGTTCTATGATGTTTAATGTTAACATGTTAAATCTACACAGCTTGATACTTATTTTGGAGTACACAATCTGACAGACCATTTCACTGTGGAGTGCATTACTTTGATGTCACTGGTCAGCTTGCCCTCAGTTATGTAATCAATTCGAATTAATTATACTTAAATCTTTCCAATATTTCTTTGTTTGATTCCCTGTATATGTCTATTTCTTTATCGCATTTCACTACTATATGAGATATGTTGACTAATATACATTTTGAACAGTTTGAATTTATGCAAGTATTTAGTGACATTAACTCCTAATCGCACAAACAACATGTAACACCAAGAGGAGATCAACAATGATGAACGTGGCTACAAGAAATCCAAATGGCGTGAATAAGTCATGCAGGAGCGACAATCTTTAAAACCTCTTGATTTCTGTACCAAATACATTACTCTCTTAATTCCACCTGGCGGTCCGAAGCCCAGTTGAAGGAGTGCGTTGGACATGAGGTCAATAATGCCATCCCACAGAATGCAACCTTGCTAAAACAACGTTAACCAGCAAAACAATATAAACAATCCGAATTCTGCAATAAAATTTGTAGGTTCATCATTCAAAAGAATAATGACACCTCCCGAAGAAAGCTGAAATTATTCAGAAGTCACTGTAAGATCCATTTCGAATGTTTTGTGTGTGAAAATCCTTCCATGTATACACTTGCAGTTTATTCTTATCGATACCTTTGGTTGTACATTTTTGTTAGTCTTTTTCATTCCATTTTCAGTTGATAGCAATTGCATTTTTAATAGTTTTTATATTTATTACGCTTTCACTAAGTTTCCATGTTTCTTCCTGATGTGCCTTCATGTTTTTTTAATTGATACTTATTCTTGGCGGCAGTCATATTGGTTTGTTCCTCCCTTTGATTGTGTTGTGTATATTGACTGGAATTGTGCGTTTTTGATTGTGAATCGAAGCACTCTTTCAGAATTGGAAACACTGTGTTATAAAGCAACCGAATATTATCTTTGGAACGAATCTGTGCGTGATCTAACCAGACAGGATAGAATAGCATTTATTTGTTGTTATTGGTAATTTTCTAGCATCCTTTTTCAACTTTCTTATTTATTGTAATTTAGATTTGATTGATTGAACTATCATTGGTTGGATAGCTGGATGGTCATAGTTGTTTAGGTAACAATGTACATTTAAATATATGATGAATTATAGAACCGTCATTTTACCTGATTACTTTGTTTTGTTTTCAAACGGGCAAGGGCGCGGATCTAACCCACCTAGACATCTATTCTTCAGTTCAAACCCTAGTTTGTAATTTACAGTCACAAGGTCTATCTCCCTTATAACGACAAATAATATGGATACATGGGACACCTGGACAATGTGGGAGACCGAGATTACCAATCAAATAGCAACGGAAATCAGGAGACACAAATCGGTAGTTCTCAGAATCAGTGAAGCCCATGGGATCCAAGCTGATCAGAAAAGGTTAGTTGAAATCATGAATCAATTGAAGCTAGACCACCATGGAAAACCTGGAAGCACTGGACGGCCAAGTTAGACATTGACACCGTTGGATGCTGGCTCAGTGGTCTAGTTGGTTAAGCGCCTGTCGCGAGACTGATAGTTCCTTGGTTCGAATCCCGCGTGGGGCGGGATCGTGGATGCGCACTTCTGAGGAGTCTCATACTAGGACGAAACGGCCGTCCATAGCTTCCAGGTTTTCCGTGGTGGTCTAGCTTCAATTGATTCATGATTTCAACTATTGAAATTACCAATTCTCCACAAAACCCATTCTAGAAAAGGTTAGGTTTGGGAGAGATGATACTGTACTTGAGTTACAAAGAAGAGAATGCTCCACACACTCAGGGAATCACTGTAATGCTGCACAAAAATGCACGAAAGCACTTATAGAAGGGGAGTTTCGTAGATATAAAATCATCTAAACATTCTTCATACAAAGAAGGAAAGAATCACAATAAATGTGATTCGGAATTATACACCCAATGATGATATCGCTGATGACAATAAAGAAAGTTGTATGAGAGTCTGCGAGCGATCGCAAAGAAGTTTTACGAACGGGCCTGACTATCTTAGAGGAGACCTTAACGTAAAATTCGAAATGAGCAACACCTTGTAAGAAGATATGACGATATGAGAACCAAGGGAAGTTAAAATAGCTTCTGATCACCACAAATTGTTGGTTGCCAAGATGAAAATGAAGCTAAAGAAGCATCGAACATTCGGAAAATGGACATGACAACAAGTTCCAAGCTCTACAAGTTCTAATCAACGAAGGAGAACCTACTATGGTGGACAACTGGAGAGGGATCACAGAAGCATTATCTTCAATGTGTCAGGATGTTCTGGACCTCAAGAATAGATGAACAAGTTAGTAGAAAACTTAAGAACCCTTAAATAAGCTAGCGCTACTGAATCCACCAGACATCGAAACAGCACACACAGTTCTTCCTATAGATTTCATTCCACCAACTGCCGAAGAATTCAGTGTGGACATCAGACAAATCAAGAGTGTGATATCAGAAGGATCTAATAATATACGAGCAGATGCATCAAAGTCAGAGATAGTAGTAACTGTATGCATGCTCTACGCTCTATTCTGGAATATTTGGGAGGAAGACCGAGTGCCGATGGACTGAAAAGTAGGATACCTCATCAAGATATCGAAGAAAGATCTCAACAATTGTGAGGAATACAGAGATATCACACTACTGTCATTACCGGAAAATGTTTTCAAGAGAGTGTTGCTAAAGCAAATGAGAGAGGCAATAGACGCCTTACTTCGAGATCAACAGGCTGAATTCCGTAAGGATCGTTCGTACACAAACCACTGATCGTCGTTAAACAATGAGTTGAATGGAATTCGTCACTGTGCGTCATTTTCATTGGTTATGAAAAAACGTTTCACAATGCAAAAAGGAGGACTTTATGAAAAGTTCTTCGACACCATGGTTTATCCGAGATGATGGTCAAAATCATCTAGAATTTATTCGACGAACTACAGTGCAAATTCGTGCATGGTGAATGGCTGACGGATGCATTACGAAGTCAGACGAAGCTGCCTAATCCCCTCCTCCCCCTTTCGTCTGATGGTTGACAGGATTATGATGGCTTCCATATTCTTAGGGAAGCACGGAATACAATGAACAGCATGCATGCAGCAATACGATTTGGACATCAGAGATGACTATGCCCTCCTTAAGGAGCGCAGGTCAAGACAAGCGGTCTACTAGCAGCCTTCGCACCAGTAGGCTTCAACATACACAAGGGAAAAAGCAAGATCCTCGAATGCAACACAGAGCACACCAACGCAATCGCACTTGATCGAGAAACTTTGGACGAGGTCTAGTATTTCACGTACCGGAAACTCAATATCCGTTGACCGGATGCTATCAACAACAACCTACTATTGAAGAGAACAAACTAGCCTTCATCTGAAGAGGAACTTAAGGAGAGACGCAGGAAGTCGATAAGAACAACGTTGCAGAAATCATGAGACTGCATCACAAAGCAAACCTCAACGTGGAATCCTGAAGGGGAACGGAAGAGTGGAGTGCGAAAGAACACACTGAGCCGAAAATTGGAAGCAGGCATGAAAAGAATGAGTAACAACTGGAGGCAACTGCAGGGATTACGCAGGACGGAGTTTGATGGGAAATACGGGTATGTAGTTAATACTCCTCCACGACTGTAACTGGAGTTCGAGTGTAAGACGTTACTCTCTCCTCAGCTCAAGTGTGTTATCCAGAAATGACAGGCGTCATATTGCTGATTTTTACGATAGGACGAGTTATTGTAGATGGTGATGTGATATTTACATAATGCCTTATAAATTGGACAGTCACATCATGATAAATTTACAATTTTGGGACTATGTCTATTATTCCAGTTCTACAAACATAGTATAGCTCATATCAGTTTAGTTCAACTCTGGATATACTTCATTGTAATGAAATTAAGTGATACTTTAGTACCAGCGTGATTTTTATTCAAATACAATTGCTGGTCATTCTAGTGCAAATACTGACATAAATTCAGTTCATTTATAAAGGGGTCTAATGCTGTTAACAATTTATTGATACCATTATTTGTGATCGTTCGGTTCTATTTTACATCGCTTTTTACTGAAATTTTGCATGCCATTTAATGAAACTGACTAAACATACGTTCGGGAAAATTCGTATTAGAGCTCAGGTTTTTCTATACTCATAATGAAGGACATGAGTAATTATCGTCCTACCAGTAATGGAAAAATGTGACCTGTTCTATCTCTAGAAGAACTCGAGCTAATCCGTCGAAAGTGAAAAAAACGTCTTGTTATTTAGGTGCTGACCTTTTTTTCCATGTCTTAAGTGTAAGGCTTGTTCGTACTTTGTATACCATGGTTTTTATCTCTGTGAGATTTGCATCAATTTTAAATGTCTGAATCTCTCCTTCACAGCAGCTATCAGATCTACGGAATAATATCTACCCAACCTTGAAGCAGGGTTAGGCACTACCAAACACTTCATCTAAAACCACAAATATATGCATATCCGCGAAGGGATTTCAGATGGACTTTCTTTCGTGTAGATTGAAAATTATACAGAAAACAACAGAAAAGTAAAAACGCCTACTCAGACACCATAAATATTGATAATATGGGCAAATGTCAAGTCAAAAACATCTAAAAACCGTAGTAGATTCTATTAATTAGTATTGGATATATAGGTTAGAAAATGACCTTCACAGAGGCGCATAAACAAGTCCGATTCGCAGATGACCTTGTAGCGAGTGTCGAAGGCGATGTCGAATGTCGGGATGATTTCCATGAAAATGTCTGCTTCATGGGAAGCTGAAAAGTCTTCATCGAATGCCATTCCGAGGTAATTCAGTACTCTCTTCTTTTAAAAGGGTACTAATAGAAGACCAGTACAATTTAAACTCGGTCTGTAGGGAGAGAATATTAGGTCTACTAGGCCTAAATTATTTTTGCAGCACCACAATGAAGTTTTAGTTTGAATCTTATGACACTTAACAATAAATCACCGCTTTGTTAATTCTCAGATGTGAGACATAATGGAAGAAAAAAAATTACTTCAATACTTAAATTATTGCTGTTAGTTTCATTCCTACTTTCTAGAAATAAGAAGTATTTAAGAGCTTAAATCAATCATCTAAGGATATATTGATACCTACTTTCGGTTACTGCAAATTTTCGGATTCTTTGAACATGAAGTGGATGGCTTGATCCAATGACACAGTCATTCCATGACTCTGGTGTTTTATTCTGAGTTGACTTACATCCATTGATTCACTACTTGTTATTTAAATTTATTTATTTGGGGTTGACCTCTTAAATCCGTGTTCGGGGTCGAACCCGCTCTTTTCGCTCCTCAGACGAAGAAACATTGATAAACTGTCATTACCTTTGCAATAATTTATTATCTACTCAGTTTACATCCATCTTATTCAAAGTCTCATAGCTTGGGTATCTTTCCACAATTTCCTGCTTTGCGCAGTCGCTGGTCAGCAATATTGTAGTGCGATATACTGCCCACTTAACGTAATGCTTGGCATCACCACTGACCACAAACATTACGTTATTTCAGCAAGCCAGTCTTCAATTAGTCAGAATAGCATGCGACTTGTTTACCAGCATATCTTTTATCTTATCTTATCTAACAGTAATAACTAAAATAATGCTTCCGTGTTAATAGCCTGTAAATAAAATATAACTCGTACAGACACCTGCAAAAGGTTGAGACATGGTTACATCTCACGTTGTTAAACTATCATCTTCCCATCTTTCATGTCTTTAACACTTCTCATATCAGTTATACTTTTGTCTATAAATAGTGGGCACCATATTTATGAAAACATGCTTGATACGACTCGAAGCCGCACATACCTGTCGTGATTTTAGTTTTATGTCTGAAGGCGGAAAAAACTTGACACGCCTTTGTTGAAATTTTATTAGCACTAAGCGTCTAGGATGTGTGTAGTTTCTTATAGTCTACTTGAATTATTTCAAAACTTTATTGTCCTACATTTCTGGCTAATAATTTTACCCTCATAACTTGCTCACTTTACTAAAAGCAAGCGCAAAGTTTAAGATTACACTTTTCTCAAATAGACCAACATATCTTTCCTGATATTAAACAGTTCAAACCTTATTAAGTATTCACGATTGTTCCATATATGTTTAATTATCTAATTAGTAGGTCATTATTTTGTATTTGCCAACATCTCGAATTGTGACTAATTTGCAGTAACCAAGTAAAGGTTCATGTACTCACCTATCAGCCACGGTTTATATATCAGATAGTGATACTACCACTTTTCAATACTGGGGAAATTACACTTGTTTAGTGTCCCATTCGTTTGTTGCAGCTGATCCCTGTTCTGTCTTATTACTCCGGTTTATTGCTTTACTTCATTTTTCATTTTGCAGTTACAAATGTCTTAATTACAAAAATATTACTTTTTTGATTTGATGTATAAGTTTTTCCAATGCGGGTAAAAAATTCTGTTCTTAGACTCTGTAGCCTTAGTTTGGTGCAAATAATATTGGATAGACCTATCGAACCTGAATGCCCAAACACAGGATTTTATGTGGTCGTTCGAATGCGTGGTACAGCTCGTCGGGTTTTACGTTCACCTGAGATCACTCTTATTTGTCCACGTGCTTCACAGCCACAAAATGGGATAGCAAACTTTCATTCAAACAATGTCCAACATAATCCGACTGAGATTGGCGGCGGCGACTTAACCGGTCAGGGAGGATGTTCTCTTTCCCTCAACACACCTGGATCCTTAGTTGGCGGTGGCGTTTCGGTTCTTATTGACTTCACGTGCAATATTCAGTATTCACATTTTCTGACTCGTGATTCTAATACGCTTCAAATTTTACTCCAACGTCGTAAAAAGTACAAAAGCAAAGCTGTGAATTTAGGATACAAGACACTTGCCTACTGTAATGTCAGCCTTGCCCAAGTGAGTTTTCCAAGCATTTTTGAATTTGATTTTTATAACTTCTGCTGCTGGTTACGGTTTGTAGCTTTCTCAAGTTGATACAACTAGCCTTTCTGAATCGACTTTTAGATTATCTATCTTTCAATTCAATCATTCTATCATATCCGTAGTTTTAATGGTAATGACTAGATTAGTTTACACAACTCTTCGCCAGCTGTTTGTTTCGAATGAGTTGGAAGCTTCATTGGTCTTGAAATATTTACTAAAATGCAAACTAAGCTAATACTTAAATACATTGTAAACTCATATAAGTAAGAGCATTCGGTTCCATCATAATCTATTTTTATTTATTTAGTTATTTATTTGAACACATAAATATTGGTACAGGGGGGCACCAAATATATATGCGCCACACAAAACTATGATAATTTGAAGAGAAGGAGAAAAGAGAAAAAAAAAGGGAGAGAGAGAACAATGGTGGGGGAAACGGAAAGGTACAATCAGAAGAGATCTTTCAGTTAAGGAAGATACAACCACTTTTTATGAAGAAAGTAAGAGGTTACAGCACAATCGCCACTGGCTTCTATTCTGAGCCATATCTGATAACGTCTCTAGCCACTGCGTTACACCGTCTCTCGGACCCCAACCAGGGAGTCGTGAAGGACCAACAGAAGCTAGCCCTTTGCAGCTTTCTTTCATACCACGACACCATGTCATATACTGACCACCTCTCCGCTTTTTCCAACCAGTCCCAGAGTCGGCAAATAATGCACGACGTGGAATTCTCTGGGACCACATTCGTAGAACATGTCCAAGCCACCGAAGTCGGTGTTTCAAGATGGTGACACCAATTTCATTATCGTTTCTGTGACCGAACACTCGATGCCGAACCTCTGCATTACTAACATGGTGTTGCCACTGGATGCCAGCAATCCTTCGGAGGCAGCGATGATCGAACACAGAGAGTCGTCTAACATCCTCAACTCGGAGAGGCCAGGTTTCACAAGCATAGAGCAAAACTGCTCTCACCGTCGCGTTGTAGATCCGACCTTTTACAGCCAGACTGACATCACGAAAGCGCCAAAGATGGCCCAGATTGGCATAAGCCGCTCTGGCTTTCACTATACGTACATTGATCTCATCACTCACGCCACCACCAGCACTTATGCAGCTACCTAGATACACGAACTTCTCGACTACTTCAATCTGCTCACCATCCAGAGTGAGTACATGATTAGAATCCTGCCAGTCTTGTAGAAGTACTTTGCACTTCGAAAGTGCAAAGCACATACCATACCTACGGACACTGATTGCCATTTGCGGATTGCATAGCTTGGGCATTCTCGCACAGTAAGACAATATCATCCGCATACTCAAGGTCGAGAGGTCTTTCTCCAGGCAACAGATCCACACCACCATTACTTACATCCGCCAGGGCTGTTTCCAGAATGTCATCGATGGCAAAGTTGAAGAGGAATGGTGAGATTGGGCAACCCTGCCTAACCCCACTGCTCGAATGGAATAGTGGAGAAAGGTGATTGTATGCCCTCACTCTGCCTGAGGTGTTTGTGTATAGGGCTTTTAGGATGTTAATAAACTTCTCAGGCACACCCTTCTTCAATAGACAATCCCAGAGAACAGTTCTGTCCAACGAATCGAAGGCAGCCCTGATATCAAGAAACACTACGATTGTTGGCCTTTGATAAGTATGGCGGTGTTCTAACACTTGGCGGAGGGTGAAGATATGATCAATACATCCTCGACCAGAACGAAAACCAGCCTGCTCCTCGCGAGTCAATCTTTCTCGGGTTCTGAACAACCTACGAAGTATGACGGAAGCCAATAGCTTGGACGCAATCGGAAGTAGACTTATCCCCCGATAATTGTTACAGGAACGACGTGAACCCTTTTTAAAGATAGGGACAACTATCAACTCATTCCATGACGTTGGTACACTCTCTAGTTCTCAGATCTTTGTAAACAACGTCGTCAGTCCCTTAGTCAAAAAGTCACCACCATCTTTAAAAAGAGTCGGAGGTAAGTCGTCTGGGCCCGGTGATTTATAACGTTTCAAGAGTTGGAGTTCCTTGCGGACTTCCGCCTCATTTGGTGGATCAGTTGTCACCGGCCATGGAGAGCAGGACAGTCTGACCGATGTTGCCAGAGCAGCAGGCCAGTTGAACTGCCCTTCGAAAAATTCTGCCCATCGCCCATGACCTCTATGAATGTTAATGATTGCCGTTCCGTCATCCTCGCAGATTGTTTCGCTCACACCAGACTTCTTGCTGACAGTGGCTCGGATGAGTTGGAAGAGCTTCCGGTAATTACCAGATGCAGCTGCTGCTTCCAGCTCATTAGCACGCTCCGACCACCAGGCTTCTCGGTCCTTACGCAAGCTTTGCCCAATTTCATTACGTAACATCCTTCGTCTGTGGTCAAACTCACGGTCACCCGGAGTAGACCGACGGGCTTCAATCAGTTGTAAGGAACCAGAAGAAACCCAGTGCTTGTAAGCGGGACGTTTCGCAAACCTACAACAGACTGTACCCGCCATTTTCATGGCGTCATGCAATTGCAACCAATGCTCATCTATACTTTTCGGTGGAATGGTAGCTAGCCTAGAAGCTAGCTCGGTTCGGTACTTACTAGCAACAGAAGTTGCAGCCAGCTTGCTAACATCAATCCTTTGGCGCAGACCAGGGCATGATCAGATTCCAGATAGGTACTACAAAAGGAGCGGCAGTCTTGTACACAACCGCGCCAGCGGTAGCTGATCGCGATGTGATCAATCTGAGTCCAGGCTTGAGATGCAGAAGGAGGACGCCAGGTGGCACATCGGCGATGACTGTGCCGAAAGTTAGTGCTAGCCAGAAACAGGTTGTGGTCTGTGCATGGTTGCAGTAGACGTTCCTCGTTATCTGTTCTGGGACCAACGAGTCCCCATCGGCCACCTAAACGACTCTCTTCTGTGCCTAGACGCCCGACTTGAGCATTCAAGTCTCCAGCTAGTACTACAATATCTGTCGAACGCACTTTCTGGAGAAGAACAGTTAGCTGGTGGTAGAACTCGTCCTTGATTGCATCCGGGCTGCAATCTGTCGGGGCATAGGCGGAGATGACGAAAAGACATCGTTTCTCACGCCGATTTCTTCTCACTTTGATGGAACTTTCTAATCTAACAGCACATAACCGACTGTTAATGGGGATCCAGTCGATTAGTGCTGCCTCAGCTCTTGCGCTTAGTGCGACACCAATGCCAGCAAAACCAGACGAAGATGCCACAGGGTCCCCGGATAAACGCACATAAAACAAGCTTTTTGAAGTGACAGATGGAGAGCGAACTTGTAGTACTTCACCAGAGTCTTGGATACGGGTCTCGGATAGACAACACACGTCAATATCAAGACTTTTCAAAGACATAGCCAGCCCTATCTGTTGTCCGACCTGCATAAGTGTGCGAACGTTGAAGGCAGCCAGTTTGAATGGTGCACGTGGTTTCAGAAAAACTGCTTCAGTACTCGTATTCGGTAGTAACATACAATTTTCAACAAGGAAGTGACTCGAGAACGTTTAGATAAAGCTGAATTTTCACCATAGGCGAGCTGCTGTCTGAGTCGAAACGGATACAAAAAGTAGAAATCGGAGATAGTGAATAAATGAAGTAGTAAATAATAATAATAATAATAATAATACCAGTCATTTCAATGTTAGTCGGAGAGAAACGAATATTTTCTATAAGCAGATAGTTCATCATAGTTTTAGTGTGTGGGCTGAGATACTGCCCGGGTGCCCAAACCGAAGCAGGTGGTTTTCTTAGGGGGCCACACCCCGAGCCTTTGACCTAAAGGTCTAGTCCACAAGGCAGTGGAGCATCGTGAGGAGATGCAGTCCCATGGAAGCCGGTGACCAAAAGTTGGTTCATACGCCATTTGTTCCTTCAGGACACTGGAGCCCATGTGCACCATTGGTTTGGGATCCGGTTATAGCGCCGGACGTTCGCTTTTCGTCCTCTCATTTTCGTAAACAACACCCCCGCCACGAGAAGGCAGTGAGTAGGACTTCCCTCGCAGAGGCTGTATACGCGTGGCCGTGTGAGAGTATTTGGAGACTTGTCGAGTGAATCTGTGTCCGAGAATACTGGGCAATAGGAATAGCTGGGTTACAATCGTAAGAGAGAATTATAACACCGACATTCGCTTTTTTCCGTCCTCTCAATTTTGCAAACAACTGTAATGCCGCGAGAAGGTAGTGAGTGGGACTTCCCTGGCAGTGGTTGTATGCACGTGGCCATGTGATAACATTTAGGAGAGCGGACTCTCCCCACCCTCAGCCGTACCAAGGCATTTGGGGGCAGTTTTTGTACGAAGTGTACCTTAAAGCCAAGTTTGCGAAACTTTATTTATTACGCGAATTATAATCATAATCTTTTTTCAATCGGACAGTCCATTGTGCAAACTTATACAATTACAATGGAATACTTTTAAGGGTACAGTAAAATACTGTTTGATTTGTGATTATTCGATAAAAGCATGAATGTGGAACTTCCTTTTTCCCTTACCTTACATATAACTTCGTATGGAATTGTCCTATCACTCCATTGTTTAGTTTGCCTTATATTAGACAGATATGTCACATTTAATGTTACCCCTTACATAGTAACTACTATTATTTTTGTTCCATTTTTGCATTGAATGAACATTTTCCGAAGTATTATTAACTGTTTTTGCACCAATATGGGCACAAAAAGCAAATGCACCTAGTCATATATTTCCTTCCATCACTGTACATTCTTACTAATATATATATATATATATATATATATATATATATATATATATATATATATCAGGTCTGTGTAGGGTTATTGTTAGAAATTCGAACACTTTGACCAATAACTCACCATTTCACAAATAAGGTCGCCTCAAGTGTTTACTGATTACGACGCGTTAAAAATCTATCATTGCTATTGTAGTACACATTTGTAATTATTTTTACTTTCTAATGTTTATCCTCATATTCCTTCTGTCATCCTTTTTTATCGCCAATGGCTTTTCATTATATCCTTCTTCTACTACCAACCAGTATATATATTTTCGATCAAAAGTAACTCATAGGTTACTGCTTACAGTATTGTTCAAATGCTTTTATAACATATTTTCTCTAAATGATCTGTGCTTCATATTGCTATTGTTTTTTACCATAAAGTTGTCCTCCACTCTTATCTTTCAGTTCGAGTTTTATTATAGTTTAACTTTAGTGATACTTAGTTTATTTTCAAAAACATTTGTAGGTATTTAAAATTCTATTTTCGACCTTCATTTCTAACTTTCCTTATCTATTTTTTCTCAGATAATCGAGTTAGTTTTGAAAAAAGGTGGTCATTGGTAATGGTACTATTGTAGGTGTTCATTCATACTGTAATTAACTTCCCAATTGTGTTTATATTAAACGGACAGCAATCTAGAAATGTTTGTTTGAGGCACCCTATTAATGCTGACCTTGTAGTGTCATGTTTGCCTAATAAGATAAATGGAAATTAAGTTTCATTGTGGAAATCACCGCTTGATTGTTTAATCTTTTTGTGTACGTGATTGACGTTGGCGTTGATCATTAACACCAACAAATTAGTAGTAAATAGGTATGCTGTGACAACTGCAACATTAGTTATTCATAGTACAAAACAGGAATAAAATTATAAAGGAAATGTTTTATGGAAATACTTAATAATTAGTCATAGTATAGTGATAATACATTTTCATGTTAAGTCTTTCTCTAAATAGTCAGTTAATGACGATAGAATCTAACTTTTTCGATTCTTGCTTCAAAGCTTCATGTTTTTATGTCTGTCAACCTCACATAGGTTTGTACGAGATCTCAAGTTACTATGGTAATCGTTAAACCAGTCTCTCTATAAATTACATTATTCAAAGCTAGTTGGATTCATTTTTAATGTATTTTCATCGTGTACGGATTTTCGGGACTCACAGTTTTGACTTTAATGATGGTGTAAGAATCAGCAATATTAATATTTGGTGATTCATAAGTACCAGATGTTGCCACGCCTGAAAGTTGGGTACCTAAATCATCTTTCATACAGTGAAGAAATCGTTTCGAATCCCACTTGCAGGATCGTGGATGCGTTCTGCTGAGGAGTCCCACACTGGGAAGAAACGATCGTCCAGTGCTCCTAGGTTTTCAATAATGGTTGATCGATTCATGATCCTAGTTAAAATATAATAATTATTCATGTATATGTAGTTGTAATTCGCAACGTTGGTACATGTGCGTCTGGGCGTGATACCCACTGATATTGTCGTGTTATCCAAACGACCTGGTTGAACTGAAACGTGTAGTTAGATGTTTAAGTTTCTGAGTCACAGTATATGTATTTGGACCGAATTGTTGATTTTTAATAAAAACGGAATGAATATTCTATATTTAGGATGGTTATTGTTTTATTATTTCTACTCATCTGACATATTTTTTCTCTATTAAACTAAACCTTTATTACTCAGAAATGTTTTTAGTTAAAAGTAAAATGATTAGATTTTATCATAATTTAGTCAGTTATTTTTGTTTTTTTGTCATTTAAGGTATGATAGTAGCACTCTATAACTTTATTAATATGTGTAAACCTCTATGACTTACATTTATTTGGTTTAAATTTATATTCATTATGCATTTATTTAATGTAATTTTAATGTATATATATATATATATATATATATATATATATATATATATATATATTGTCGGCAACAAAGTGTATTAATTTGCCAAAAATGTACCATAGTTTTGTAAATCTTCTCTTTCAGTTTAAATACTTATTAATTTAAAAAAAAATAATATATATATTATGGAGGTTATCTTATAAGTTCCTTGAAAAGAAAGATCTCTGTGTTACAGTATATTTTCTTTTTCTTTTTTGAAAAAATTAGGTTTTACAACGTCGTATTGAGAATCGATTTTTAGATTTATACACCGATCCAAAGTGTTCCACTCATCCAATTGGTAGAATCGAAGTTTTATACTTATCAAGTTTACCTATTGAAAAAGATTTATTAAACGGAAAGCGTAAAGGTTAGTAGGGTTTTTAATTATTATTATTGGTATTAGTATTATGATTTATACTCTACGATTGTTAATATCGATTCGTTGATTTTCCTAAGTAAGAAGATATCTCTTATTCCTACCCTATTATTACTTGTTCTTTATCCTTTATATTTCTACCCCGCTTCACTTTTTATTTTCCAGTATTTTTTCTATCCCTCATTAAACATATATTTTAAGGATTTCAATTTTTTCTCACATGTTTGTAGTATTACTAAGATCTTAAACTGACAATTCGACGACTGAATTTACATGCATTTTCTTAAGTGTTTGTGCTGAGTTAGATAGTTTCTTGAAGAAACCTGTAGTTTATTTCATTGATTATACTATACGATATTGTATTTTTGGTGTGTTACATTGTAATCATCCTATTTGGAGCTTGACACTTGAAAGATAGCAACACCTTAGTTAGACTTAACTTTGTTTTGATTAAATAACTCACTAAATTTGTTACCAATCGATATCACAGTCACTGTATAGAAATTCCCACATGTGATGTGTTTTTATTTTAAATAAGCATATCATAATTCTCTAATAGGAAAGCTCATGTTCTACATTTTAATATTAGCATTCTCTTTTTGCTGTGAGATTTACTGTTTGTTTTAATAAATGCGTGCTATCATGGAATACTTAAACAAATTAGTTTACTATTTCAATTACAACAATAAGCTTTACTATTTGGAATAAATAGGATCCATAATATCAAAAATTGTTGCCTTTTCTAAATCATTTCCAAATAACATAAAGCAATTATCAATACACGTTGAGATTTAAGATCCAATTTAAATATTGTCACATTGGAACAAATCAAGTTGTTTGTTAGTTATATTACTGAAGTTAGAAACTTTTATACCTTTAAAACAATGGAAGAAATTATTTGTGTCACTGAATAAAATGGATCTGGTTCAAGGGGGAAAATTTTCTCTTCTATGATATCATTAACTTGAAATGTACAACCATAATTATGGCTAATTTTCAAGCATACTTGGCTATAATAAAGTGATGTTTTATAAATGAACATTTTTTTCAAGTATAGAGTATAAGTTGCTCAATAGTCTTAAAAGTGATAAACGGTAAAAAATTTATAGAAGAGTTGGTAAATATAATTATGCACTTGATGAATATTTGCTACTGAACCGTCTTCATCCTACTTTATTGTTTTGTATCACACTAGAATATATATATGATCCTTCGTAAGGTCTATACTAATTAATTGAATAACTATGTCATAAATTCGCATCTATTCCTTTCAACTGTTAACCTTATTTAATAGGTATGTTTTATTGCCAAACTAAACAAAGTCTTGTTTATTTCATATCTAGTACCATAAAGTGAGGAATCACTCGTAGGAATTTTTGCATCATATACATTTGACTATTCTTATACTTTTCATTCCTTTTTTGACGTTATCATTTCACCTATACATACTAACAATCTATTTCGTTACTTTCTATATATCATATTACCAATTAGTCTTTTCTTCCGGAAAGGAAAGACTTAAACTAACCTAATCCAGCTTTTTTTATCGGGAATATTTACATATTATCAGTGAATTATTGTATACAGTAATATTTGGAATATTATTTGCGCACATCAGTTAAGTGGCAGTATTTAAACATCGATTCAAAAATATGTCATGATATTTAAGTTATAATAGTTTTGGGAGGATATAAAAATTAATAGTTGAACGAAGATTTTGTCTTTAAATAAATAGAAATTTATCCATTTCTATTCCTTCAAATAAAACGATTCTTATGTGGAAGTGTTAATTTGATGAAAGAGAAATAATACTCTTCAAAGTTGATTCAAGCCAACTGAACAAACATTTTACCAAAGCAAAAATAGTAGTATGCTTTATTGACGTTGATGATCAAAATATCCCATACACTCAATATATGACTTTCTTACTGCAGATTTTTTCGCAACCATTCAACATAATTATTCTTTTATCGTTTCCATTGTTCTGTGCTCAATTGTTAAATTTGTGTATAATACTCAGAGTCTTGAATACGAAGAGAGGTTTGATGAATAAAACTTTTTCAATGTGATTTGTCAGAGGTCCTAAAAATACTAACTTTCCTGACCGCTTTTGTTCCTTCACCGTAGCCGATCAATCCTTAAGAAATTTTCTTAATAGGATTATGGGAGAGAATGGGACCTAATAGTCAGATCATAATTCATTGGAGAATGAGTGATCTACAAACTCGTATCTTCTAACCACTTATTTCATTTAGTCATGTTTATTTTTTTGGTTATTAAGTTGTGCATAAGCATGTCACAGCTTTCCGGCGCTCCATTATTTTCGATTTTTCTCCAGATGAAGTCTATGCATAATGAGAATTATTTCAAAGTTAATGCATAGTATCGTATTTTACACAACAGTTGTTCTAATATTCCTACCGTATCAGTCAACTGCAAAGGAAAGCTAAATTTTATCCTTATAGATTTATGCTTAAAATGATTTTGAATTTGTCTGTTAATTGTAATTTCTAAGCAAATTGATTAACATTGCGACCTGAATACATGATCACTTATTTACAATAAAAAATTTGCAGTTTCATTTTTCACACTGTTATGACCTTAACTATACGATATCGCGAATAATGACGTATACATCCGTACGGGCAGCTTAGGTTTCCGATCGGTCCTTTTTTCATCTAGTCCTGCCTGTTAAGTTCAAAACATGAATCTTAGCCTCGGCGATATGAATCATATCTTTCAAACATACAAGCAAAATCAGACCACATCACACCATAAAATAGGAAGTAACATTTATACAAGATCAAGCCGAAAGTGGCTGTGATTATAAGGAACTGTGACTAATAGATTGAGAATAACTTGAGAATAATAAATCATATAACAGTAACCGATTAAAAACCTATAGTAAGAGGAATATAAATATATACATAGCGTAGTTACTTAACAATTATACAATAAGAATATATGTATAGTATTAGTCCATAAATAGATACCAACAGTTACCTTTCATTATTCTCTTCGGCAAATAACACACTTTAATAGATACTGATTGTCTTAATGTCCCTACAACCACTGTATGTAGATAGTTAAACATTCTATATATTTGTAAGAGGGAGCAATTATTCATTGTTCAGAATTTTTTTTATTAGGCGTTTTCTATGGTATGTAGTCAAATTAGTAAATAAATTAACGCTGTCATGGAATCGTTTGTTTCTTATCAAAACACTTCGGTTTAATTTCACGCATATTAGCACAAAACATATATGCGGACAAAATTATTTGAATAAAAATCTCGTTACAAACAGACTTCGACTGAAGAACCAAAGGAAAACGAGAAGCCACTTAACAGTTGTCTCGTTCTATATCGAGGACCCTTTCCAGTCTGTACCTATGACCTCACACAACATCAGCTCCATTACGTCTCGTAATCAGTACTCAAACATTAACCAACGCGTTTACTTGGAGTAAAATAGTCCAAATTTGCAACTTCAGTGAACTCTAAATGTAGCTCAATTATTATTCATTTTTTTGGTCGATAACTAACCGTCTATCTGGGGGCATGTTCGAATTCACTAACTATTGCTTTCTACTGAAACCATGGAAAATCCATTTCTTAACTTTTCGTTGATGAGTACACGGACACGTCCCAAATCGGGATTAAAATAACTAACTAGTGCTTCCCATTCACCAGCTGACTTTATCATGTAATAAAAACTTTTCACAAACCACGTAAATAAATATTATTCTCAATCAAATCCTCCTTATATATATATATATATATATATATATATATATATATATATATAACCGGGGTTTAATTTTATTACTAGATAAATTGATGGGCTTTTCTTCCGGTTATTTTAAATTTTACTAACATTTCTATTTATAGTTGTAGATGAAGATGAAGATTATCCTATACCAGATGTTTATAGTGAACAAGAGGATTCAGATCATGTTGAAGAAAGTGATGACGACCAGATAGCTGAGTGTGAAATAGTTGGACACAGCCGTCAAAAAAAGCTTGTTAAAGCTATGTCTGTTGGTGTAAGTACCTATTTGTATGTATGTGAATTACATTTCTAATCATTATCTGTTTGCTGCTTGTAAAAATAGAATAATTTCTAGTATTCAAGTTTGGGTTATTGTATAAAATTGTGACCAAATCACATTCTATTCTTTTTTGTTGTTAGCTGTTGATTTTGAACTTAATTTATATGTAACTGTATTATAGCATCTGAATTGTTTTACGAATATTCAGTCAGCCATAAAAAGACATACAATCTGACACAAATATTAATTAATTAATTAATTTTTACACAACTCACTTCAACACTGCAAATTAAATTTCACAATATAAGAGTCAGCACTAGTAAAGATTAAGCACTAAGAATATAGTCAAAAATGAATTGCGGAGTAGTATAAAATAGCTTCAGATTGTAAGGATAATGAAGAATAGATCCATTTACATCATTGTGATCTATATCTATATGATGCTATTTAAACAGCATATTAAACCTATCTCGTGGATATTAACGCAGTTGTCTGTCCTGATACTACTCAAAACACTGGTAATTGACTTCATGAACTTTGTAAACTATGTTTGGTTAGGGAACATGGATAGACAGTTTTGTGTATCTTATTGTATATTTTCCTAGCCTTCTTTATTGTTTTAATATTTGGCTGTTAGTAAGGCTGATAATACATTCTTGATCTGAGTTAGTTCAACGTAGGAAAGATTAATTATGTTGTCTGGGTATCTGGTATTAGTGTGGGGGAATTGTATGTATTTTGGAATGTCCCCCGTTAGTCTTAAATAAACGAGCGTAATATCAGCCTTCGACGGGAAATTAAACATCACATATCTTGATCCAACAGCTTTTAACATTCAGTTTACTTCCACGTTAGCCGAGACTATCTGGGTTCTGGGAACAGGTCATGGGTAATGCACCCAACAATCAACACAGCCGATGAAGGTTCACAGCCTCTCCGTTTCTGATATTCATTTACATGATATTAGTGAGAATGTCTTTTACGACCACCACTTAGTTGATAAGTCGTATCTCAGCAGCATCACATCATAGCTTACAGAACTCATATCGAGTATGAATAAACCTTCAGAATATTCCAGTATGATAATTTATAGGTAAATCTTAACTAGTTTCATAAAAAAGTTTGTAAATTCAGTTAAAAACATCACAAAGGTTTCGTTGTTTCTTGTTTATACGGCAATCTATTGATTATGAAATCATTTTTTGATTATCTTTTTCATACCAAACATTTGTAGTGTATCAGTAAAAAAAGAAACTGAAATATCAGCTTTTTTCTTGATTTACATTTCTTTTCTTAAAAGTGTGTAAATGTAAGTGAAATCTTAATATATTTGAGTCGATTAACTTATCTAATGTTTGTTTACTATTGTATATTTTTGTGACCAAGTTAACTAAAACAAAGGCTATATACATGTGTTCTCGTGTAGCTAACAGAGCAAATATGATAATGCCTTACTTTTCTATAATAAAAATAAGAAATAAAGTAAACATTTTCCATCAGTATGCTTACACTTGGTTTCTGAATAAAGGGATAAAATCTTAAATCTGATTCCATATAGTAAAATTCTATTATACAAATTCATATTGTTCTATGATCCATACATAAAATTGTTGTAAAATTTACTTTGGAATGTACATTGACAAAAACATTGTAAATTATTTATTTTTAGATCGATGTTTTTTTCTCCCTATTATATTAAGGGGTTTTAAATTTTCTTTTTTAAAGGTATATTAGCTAGAAAAGATATACACTGCTCTTTATAGTTAAAACTACTACCTATGAATAATGGTCGTATCTCAATTTAATTATTCTTAAAATTACACTTATGACTATAATTTACTGGGAATTGTGCTATTGTTACGTATCCGAACTGTGTTTGTTTTATTTGTTTTTATTGTTTATCTAAAATGTCAATTTTCTCATCTTAGACGTTAACCTTATTGATGAGTGTGTTACTGTGTAATTATATTCTTATTTGAATAGTTTAAAATTATTGACGTTGTAATGGTGATTTATGATGATTGTGTAACTCTCTTATAGTTTTTGATATGAATCGGCCATTATAAAACTGTTCCATCTTAGTCACTGATTAAACAGCAGAGACAATTTATTTCAGATTGAATCGAACCCCAGGATGTCCATACTGAGCTATTAAATCGAGCATTCACATGTTCATATTTTTGTTTTTACATTTCCATCAACAAATGTGGATCTGTTGATATTATTGCTAATTAACGAAATTATAAATAGTAGATATTAAAAAGAGATTTCTATATTAAACATAGGTTTATATTTACCACTCATAAAGGTATACTTATAAGGAGCTTCAAGAAAAACACATTACATTTATATTACATCATATTTGACTCTCTCATGAATGGTTAAATTTAACAAGTGCCTGTAATGATGTGTAATTTCTATATTTACGAGTAATTTTTAATGTCTTTAAGGAATTACAATTACTGACAGAAATTTGGATATTCGGTAATTGTAAATCTTCAAACATGTACTATGACTAAAATTTACATGTACAAACATGGTGATTATATTAAATCTTTTGAAAACATGCATCAAATATGCATTTTAAAATCTTCACTTCATCTTCTGTTTTAAATGTTTAATTGAAATTTTTCTAGCAAAAGCAAATTAAGCAAAAACTAATTGGTTTACTGAAAAAATTAAAAATTAGTGATCCTAATGAGGTGAGTTACTAAATATTATAATAAGCATTGTCTTAATCTTATTTATTTAGTCCATCTCTATTTATTTATTTATTTTACGAATAACCAATTGCATTTTTAATGATAACCTTTATATATTTCATTCCGTTGTTTAATTGACTGTAGATATTTTCAATATATATGCGTTTATTTATACATTCATTAAAATTAGTCAACATGAGAGCAAGAATCACATTCTATAAATCAACATTCTTTCCTTTAGGCGATTCTAACTTGGAAGAAACGAATGATAATTACTTTTTTATCCGTAAGCGAATATGTTAGTCTTAAGTTTACAAACAGCAAACGAAACAATCCTTTCGTCTGTCGGTATGTATGTGTGTTTAGGAATACTAGAATTCTTATCTAATCATATACTGTCCAAAGTTTAATCGATCGTTTGACCTACTTTATGCTATTATATCGTGTATTTAATTGTTTATGTACATATCCCAAGCTAGATTTTCTACAACCTATCTACGTCATTTATTATAAGTTTATTTCCGTCTAACGTTATTTATTTAGATTTCCACAATCACTTTATAAAATTCTTATTTGTAGTATGTGTGCACAAATTTGGAAACATTTCATTATGGTTTATTCTCTCCTAATCTTGTACTTCAGTCTCAGGAATTATATTTGTCTACTCGGGACATATTGTATACACGAGAAAGTTAAACTGTGAAACAATGTAACATCATATAGAGCTTCATCATTTGATTTTTTAATAGTTATGTTAATTGCATCGGAATAAGTAAAAACAAGAATTGACATTTATTTGTGAACGACAATAAAGTAAGAAACATTAAACAAAAATGGAACACTTCTCAGAAATGTTAGATTTTCAAACTATTCACTCCGTAGCTTTTCATTCTCGATCTTTTGTGATCAGACTAACGTCATAACGACACAGAATGTTGTAGGTCGCTTTGAATTTTATTATACGTAGGTTAACTTGGTCTGTTACATTTCTACTATCACACAGCTGTGAAGATACATGGACATTCCTATTTTTGTGAGCTTGTAAAACAGTGTTGATATTTTTTATTGAAGTACTTCAAATTTTCATGATGCATTGTGTTTCCAATTCTAATGTTTGCTAATCGTCAACTAGCTAACTGTGAATTAATTAATTTATCATCAAATAATCAGACAGTATCATCTAGATACTTAAGGTTTAGATGTCTCTCTAGTTTCCACTGCCGGCTCTGTCTTCTGAATATCATTAACAAAAAAAATGTTATGATTGTACAAATCCACCTCGTCATACTGCAGTTTTCAAACGTCGAATTTAGGCGGTTGTATGCTGTCACTTTATCTAATGTGATCTAAACGATTTTGAACTTCTGGAATTCTAGTCCTCTATGATGAATATTTTATATCACGAATTCGAACAACTGTTAGTCATAGTGTCAAAGTTTATCATAATTATTTATCTGCACTACATATGAAGATTTTTAAGGATTTGGCTAAGAGTGTAGATGTAATCAACCTAATTTTGATGTTAGGAAAACTCAACTTGTTTTATACAAATCAATCGTTCATGAGTTTTGTATAGTTTTCTCAATATGGAGGGAGTTTTCAATTTAGATGTAAAAGGGCATAGCTATTCAACTAAAAATTTTGACCTCTTGTGTGAAATTCGTTGTTGATTGTTAAAAGAAAACTTAGCATTACAGTTCTGTGTATAATTTTAATCAGAAATAATCCTGTATTATTGTTACAAATTTTATTGTAACACTGTTAAACAACATCGATTTTCCTCAATCAAGTCAGTGAATCTATTATTAGTCTTTTAGTTTGGAACAGTTTTCTCACTAGCTTGGTAGTCCAGTCTTTCAGTAATATGCAACCTATAACTTGACTTATGGGACTGCTTAAGTTGCTACACTATATTAGCATAGAGGGCTAAAATTATCCAGAAAAATCCCAGAGTACTAAAAGTAGTAACACTATGGGTAGTGGTCGTAGAAAATGTTAAGTGAACAAAAAATGTAAGGACTTTTTGGAATTCAAGAAGTAAGGGAATATAAAAAATAGATGCACTTGATCATTGCGAACGATCCTTAGTCATGTCACCGTTGGTTACTGTAGTTGGTAAATATTTATTAGTTTTTTGTTTAAAGACTTGCTGATAAAATTGGATAAGAATACGTAGTCGACCTTGGGATGAAGGTGTTTACAAAATATAGTTTGATTCGTTTTGTTTTCACGTTAGGATTTTTTGTAATCGCAAATATTTCTGACCTTATTACTTAGAAGAAAAAAAATTAAAATCATATTATGTTTTCGATAAATAAAATAAGAAGCACCTCATGTTTTACATATCTTTTCCTTTGAATATCATAAAGTTAACCGAGTGTTTGTGAATAGTACTTTGTTTATTTTTACCGAGTTTTCTGGTAACAATCGTGTTATACATGATAGAATAATTTGTCCTTGACCGAAAGAATTATACTTCTATTATGCAAAATTTGCTATATGATCAATTTTTAAAATTATGTATACCTGTTTCTATGTAATGGAATTTAAATGAAATGACCCATTTTATAATTACTGTAATTTCTATTTGTTTAGTTCACATTTAATTCCTTCACTTAAAATAGTAATTCAATTTTCTGTATTATAATCTTCGCTTTATAAAATTTTTTCATTTCTAATTTTTCCCTTACTAGTTTATGCTACATGTATTAGTCTAATTAGTCATAACTGAATGTTTTTGCATTTATTACATTTATAGAAAAGTGACAACAATATTTTCTTACTTAAACTTCCGAACATACTTTAAGTATAAACATACATAGCTAAATAGACGTTATTTTTTTTGTTCAATCATACATAAGTCATTCGTTTTTTCTTAAAAAATTACATTATCATGTTTAGTTTTCATTTATGTCTACATCTTTTTCTTTTTCTTTTCGCAAAAACAACCACGTTATCCAAACTTTATAGGTTGACTTAGATGTGGCTACAACATCGAAATTATGGGATGAAATTGATCGTATAGCGACAGCTAGTGATATTGAAGAGGATTCAGATGCGGAAAGTTATAATTTAGTTTCGATTCAGAGTACACCACGACCAACACTTCGACCTTTTTTCGCTACAGCTGGTAGCTCTGATGATACATTGAGTGCCGTAAGTTAATTAAAGTTTTTCGTTGTTTTAAATTTATATAAACTATACTAATTTATTTGATGTAGTTTTGTGATTGGTTTATTTGTAAATTTTAAAGTTCATTTTTATCATAAATTGACATTAAATGAGGAATGAATAAAGTCCTTCAATCGTTTGGATATTTGTTTCATTCTAGTTTGAATTTTTCTCATTAGGACTCGTCCACGGCATTATACAGTATTAAACCCTGGCTTCTGCATCTTGTAGTGAGCATAATAAGTTTACACTACTTAGTAGATATCCACTGATTCACACAGAGCAAGAGATTATCCTGTCTTTTTTTGTTGTTCTCTCTTTAAGCTTTCATTTGTAAGTTAATATTTATTAGACTTTTGAAGATATTCACAATTTTAATATGACAAAGAAGTCGGTTTTATTTTTCTTTATGCATTCACGGTATGTTGTAATTAAAGTCTTGATTGACTGGGCTTCTACTTTTTTTCTCTGTTATCTTTTCTGCAAATTTCTTAATCATTTATTTTCATTGTGTTCTACAATTAAAAGTTTGATAGCGTCATTTACACTAAATAAATTTCGTCATCTAATAACATGGATTTTCAACAGCAGATTTTGTTAGGAACCCTAATTTTACAAAGTGATTACTTCATGTAAAAACATTATAAATGTGTATTGATGTGTAAATATTAAGGTTGTTGTGTTATACGTAATATGTGATCTCCAGTAAGCAATGGAACCTAGTTTACATCCTAGTTGTCACTTGTCACCAAGATATGTCTGCAATCTTTAGGGAATTGATGCTCATCATAGGGTTCAAACTCTTACCAAAGACAGAAACAGTTATTGGTCCCAGCAAAACTCATCTTAATCATTCCTTTGACCGAAGGACTTCCAGAATATATGTTTGTAACAAATATAAACGAACCCAGTAGTATTGTTGCCCTATGAAATATCTGACTCCCTTCTCTTTTCCTTATAGAAAGAATTTCCAACATTTCGGGTAAGATATTGGTAATCTTTAAATGTCACATTACACTTAAACTTATAAAGCTAAAATTGACATACTTTGAGGGTTGTGCTTTTAGGGAATAAATAATTTTAAACAGAGTGAGGCAGTTTTGTCGTGTATTCGATGTGTTTCATCACGAGATACTTTTATAAGCTCTGTATTCCATACTGCCAGTTGATGCAATTATTTAACCTAGATGACGTTAGGTATAGAGTAATTACATGATAGGTACTCATCATTCGATGTATGATCAGTTACCATTAGTTAGCTTCAAATTATGGTGAACATAAGTAAATTCTCAAACTTGTAAATTTATTAGGACGTAGGTTGATCAGTTGTGTGGAAAGTAATGAATCATTTCACTCAGGTTACATATCTTTGGTTGATGAATACTTTCATTACTATCTTATATTGTTTAATTTTACTCCGATCTACAAGGTAACAGAAAATTGTTTAAAACATGCAATATAAGCCACTATTGGTATTCATGTCTTAAATGTATTCATTTTGTTTTGTTGCTGTTATAACATGTGGGCTGCCAATTAGAGAGCAGTGAATTATCGATCGGACCACGCACGCGTTAAACACATGCGAGCAGCCTAGATCCCTGATTGGTCCTGCTTTCCGCCTAGCCCAGCCAGTTAAGTCCAGAACACCAATCCCAGCCTCTGCGATATGAATCATATTTCAAACATACTGAGTTTATATACCAATCAAACAGACCACAACGTACCATAAAATAGAAAATAACATTTGTACAAGATTTGGCTAAATGTGGCTGTGAATGAGTGAGATAGTAATTGATAGACAGGGCATAACTCAAGAATGGAAAATCGTATAATAACAGTTCATAGGTTAAAATAAATCTTATGATAAGAGAGACATAAATATGAATAGTTTAGTTAATTAACAATTTACGATAAAATTATACGTATAGTATTGGTCCACAAATAGATCCCAATAATTACCACTCATTATTCTTCTCGGGGCACAACAGTTGCAAATTATCCTTTTTAAATAAGATTATCTTATCCTTTTAAAATATGTCAGTTCGAATCTAAGCGATATAATACTATTGGTTCTTTTCCTAAATTTTAATTAGAACGAAAACATAAATTGCAAAATACTTTGTATTCATTATATTCTGCTATAACTGTCCTTCTTGACATATTTAAAAATCCAATATCATATAAATAGTCTTCTCTGTTTTCTATATGTTAAGTGTCTGTTACTCAAAATCATATCATTAATTAAATAATATTGAAGGTTGTATATGTGGTTCATGTTTTCTATGTTCCACTTACTGTAATTACGTGTACTAGTATAATAACACAAAATAAGTTAACTAACCACTGTCATTGAACACAAATAGTTTAGGCTAAGTAGATTTTATAATTCCTAGTAATATTTTGTTGAAGAGTCTCATATTAATACAAAACGGCTGTCCAGTGAAAATATTTTTTATTTGTCTGCATAGTGCATTATCTCTTCACGTGTGTATTATTTGTGATCACCACAATCTGTTTCATTTTGCCAAAGTAATTATATTTGATACATTTGATTTACCATGTTACATAGTTTGTATGAGATTAATATAAATATTATTAAATTAATGCAAAGTCTTTATTTAAAAGTATTAAGTCAGTATCACTTTATTCACGTAACCGTAATAATAATAATACCACCACTATTATTAATAGCAACAACAATATAAACTTATCTTAATGCAATTTGTCATAATTTTATCACTCACTTTGAAGAAAAAGATAAAACACACGATTTACGAATTCAAAGATTATGTCAGTATTTATTTATTATAAATTGTACTGATATACATTCTACTAGTCTAAGTGCTCGATTTCTCAGTTTTAATCATTATTTACACACTCAATTAGTTTATCGTAAATAACTGTGTTTATGTTGTTGAATAATTGTATGTATTTTATGTATGCAACTTCTACTCTCACATGGATTGACCTGCAGACATATATATATATATATATATATATATATATATATATATATATATATATATATATATATATATATATATACTTTAAACTCTCATTGTAGACGGCGAAATAATTTATCTGCTTTTCTTCCGTTATTTTTAGGATGCTGGAGCGAAATTGTTGAAACGCCTTCAAAGAGAATTACTTGCCCAAAGTGAAACTGATACGTCACCAGATACTGTACATCTACGATCCATGCTAGCTTCAGTTGGTAAATCGGTAAGCTTTCAAAACCCATTCGGAAAGTCTTCTGGGAAGTCCGACTTATTACCATTAGAGAGATTTTCCGCACTACCAGGTTCACCTACGACAACATTTACTGATTCTGGACCTTTGCAGTCCACTGATTCTTCACTCCTTCAACGAGGTGGTGGTCATATGATGAGTTTAGCTGGTGGCCGTTTTGCCAAACGATTTGCGCATATTCGACGACGATCTAATTCAAAGCATATTTTTGGAATGTACAGACCCAACAAATCTAACTACAACCAGGAATCTGAAACGGTTAATCAAGGTGTAGAAAATATTACTATAGAAAGTGTAAGTAGTTTTTAATATTTTTTATTGTTTGTTTTCCTCAATTTTCCTAACGTTTTGATTTATCTACTAAACTATTCGTTCTGTTTTATTTATTCATTAAGGAATCGTCAGATGATCATTCTCCAACTGATGGTGGATTAGACCCTTCTTGTTTATCTTTATCTCGTGGACGAGATACAGCTTTTGATTATTTCGCTTCACATAATCCTTCGGGAGATTTCTCTCAAGCAATAAACCCTACACTATGTTCTACTCCAGAAGCTAATCGTTCGTATATATTAGGCGATAGAGTAATTTCCGATAGAAATATTACTTATGATGAGAAGAAAATTCATGAGAAAACTCCAACCAATTGTAATACAGATTTCTCAACTAGTGAAAATAAATCTTTTGAAGCATCAGCGAATTCTTTTGGTGTAAGTGTTTGAAATGGTGTAGAAGTTTTTCCAATTTGTATGCTTCATACAATCTTTTTGTTTCATTTTTAACTTTTAAAAAGTTTTTTTTATGAGTTAGGTGTAAATCGCAAAATCCCAACTTTCTTTCGAAGAAATTTGTTTTTGATTTATTCCGCAAACATTTGAATGTAATACTACCTTCGAATGCTCCAATTAATTTTAAAATATTTTTTATTAAAAACTGATACCATAAAGTACCTAACTGCTAGAACATGCGTTCACCTTTTTTCGTTTTTGTAGCAACTATATGACACTCCATTACTGAGTTTTAGTTGAAAATGGTGAGTCTATGATTTATGGACGACCTTTGAGGGACGCTACAGTGACCTTGAGAGTGTCTATCTACTTACTAGTGCTAAATAAGCGTTATAAAGCAGTTTGAAGAATATGGATTGTGATTTACAGTCGATGGTTAGGGTTCAGAATTAGATTTAGGGTTTTCATCACGAAGTGGCATCAGCTATAACTCCAAGACTCTATTTAGCTAAATGGGTAAATGAATTTGGCACCGAGATCTAAGGCCTGTTATCGTAAATCTAATTGGTTCATCCATAACTTATGGTCTCGCTGTTGAAAATTTCATACTGTTTAATTTAATCGAGTTTACAGAGAACACGTGTTTTTTGCTGACTTGATTGACCCTAGTAAACATGAGCTATGTTGAAAATTCATCAATATTAGGTGATTTCAACTGTTAGGTTTTAAAAATTACCTTTTCTACGAATTGTTTCGTAATTTTTGAGATAATACCAAGTCTCTACACATCGATTTGTATATATTGTGATAAGTTTTATACATCGTGTTAGTAAATCAATTAACTGGGACTAATTTTCCTTATGCTTACGCCTGTTACTCCTCGTGGAGGAGCATAGGCTATTCGCCAGCACTCTCCATCCAACCCTGTCCTGGGCAATCCTTTACAGCTCTTTCCAGTTGTTATTCATCCTTTTCATATCTGCTCTCATTTCCCGACGTAGTGTTCTTCGGACTTTTGCCTCTCCGTTTCCCTTCAGGATTCCACATCTTCCAGAGTTTCGCCATCAAGTGTGATTGGATTGCTGTTCTCCGTGTTGTGTTTGAGGACCTTGGTTTTTCCTTTGTGTATTTTGAGGCGTACTGATGCAGAGACTGCTGCTACACTGGCTGTCTTTGTCTGCATTTGTTTGTGTGTATTGGATAGGAGGGCTAGGTCATCTGCGAAGTCTAAATCGTCTAATTGGTTCTGAGCTGTCCATTGTATGCCGTGTTTTCCCTCAGATGTCGAAGTCTTCATAATCCAGTCGACCAGCAGAAGAAAGAGGAAGGGAGAGAGTAGACAGTTTTGTCTGACTCCGGTCCTTACTTGGAATGCGTCTGTCAGCTGTCCTTCATGCACTACTTTGCACTGTAGTCCGTCTTATGAGTTCTGGATAATGTTGACAATCTTCTCAGGAACTTTATAATTTCGAAGAATTTTCCATAACGTTCTCCTGTCCACACTGTCAAACTCCTTCTTATAATCAATAAAGTTGATGTATAGTAACGAATTTCACTCTACTGATTGTTCGAAGATGATCCATAGTGTCGCGTTTTGGTCCGTGCATGAGTAATCCTTATTTAATCTACCTTGTTGATCTCGAAGTTGGGCGTCTACCACGTCTTTCATTTTCTAAAAAAAACTTGGAAAATGTAATATATTCATTTGAAGTCTTAACATGTTGTGTACAACATTTCTTTTAGAAATTAACATACTTAGTCGATTGAGTCTTGCTTAACAAAAACAGGAGCCATAATATCTTAATATAATTTTCCTTATATTACGATGTTATGGTTTCTGTTTCTGTTAGGCAAGATTCAATCGTCTAAGTATGTTAATTTTTAAAAGAAATGTTGTACACAACATGTTGAGTTAATTCTTCAAATCGACGTATTTCATTTCCTATGTTTTTCGGTTCAGTAAGATTATTTCTTAACAACAGGCCATATTTTTTGCTTAAAATGAAACTTATCGTAAGCAATGTTCGGAAACTCTGGGTCACATGGCCCAGAATCGATCACAATGGTGTACGTGTATACACTCTTCGTCTTCCCTTAAACTATGAGATTAAAATTACTCTATACCTTTCTTTCTACGAACCGATTCTTTCTCCCGGTATGATATCCTTATATGAAATCTTTTTTACTTACTACCATTGAAATAACTGCTTCTATGAATTAACTGTCCATCTTGTGCTAATGAAGTATGACAACTTGAACCGATGCATATATAAGCCTGGTCCTACGTTATAGCTGACTGACTGGCTGTTCAGTTTCGTCTAAAGTTCTTTTTAAATAAGCCTTTTTTAAGTATGCATATTCATCCAAATATTAGTTTGAAGAACAATAGATATTTGGTATTTAAGTATGACTTGTTTCTGTTAGATGTTGAGTGGTATGTTTATGCTTATGTAATCTATGCAATTCATGTAGTAATAACCACGGCTCATTAATTGCAATTCGTTGTACAAGATTTCTTGTAACACTTATTGTGGCGAGTGATATTGCTGGCCACTTATCTAGAATAAAGTTAAGGAGCACTCATTTTTACGCAGTACTGAATCAGCATTTACTTGAAAGACTTATTTACAGCTTTTATATATCAGGGACTGATATCATACTATGCTAATATTAAGGTATATTATTATATATTTTCATAAGTCCAGCATCTATTTTATAATCGTCGATCAATATGAGCATAGCTATTTATTCAGCTTCTATTTCAATCCGAAATATCGATCTAAATACTAACTAACTGTCAAATATGAGCATAGCAATTTTCGATTAATTCATTAAATAGGCTTTAGAAAAAATGTCTTTCAGTTTTCTTACAGATTAATTTCTATATCAATTAGATGTTAAAAAAAACTCAGTAAACAAGTATGATTTTATATGTACTCTTTGAAGACTAACCTATACTATATGATTGTTTTAAAATGAGTGAAAACGATGGCGCTATGTTTTAATCATTAAGCCTTACATAATCTAAATATTTGTACAAATCTTCAGTTTAGTTACTTTATAAGCATACGACTGGATCCACAGTACTATATTTTAAATAAGCAGTCACTATCGTCAGCTTTCATGCAAATTTATAGTACACGAAAGAAATCTGTTGAAGTATTATTACTACTGGTATTGGAGGGAATTTGTGGAAAATATTGAACACGCTATAGACCACATCACTAACATCGAGCTTAGTTGGACAACTTCTTAAACGGTTCTAAGGTCAGTTTATGATGCAAACTATATTATTGTTACTATTAGTATTCCGATGTATTTAGGGATGAAAATCAGCGTGCTTATTACTTACAGTTGAATTTTAACTATCATAGTAACAATGTGATCTACGTCATGGATCTAAAATAAAATCATGTATGTAGGAATCATATTATTTTTCTGATCTAATATATTTATACATGTTATATAAAGTTCATTCATCAAGTTTTACGATTCAATTATTGTTAGTATCATACTGGTAGTTTTACATTTTATTTAGTACTTTATTGTTCTTTTTACTTCGACAATTCCTTTTAAATTCATATTGTGATGGTAGAGTAACCTTTTGACCTTGATTTTAATTCTATGTTTCTTTACTAGATTAGGTATATAAACGAATCCTAGCTTTCTATTAATTGTTTATTTCAAGGTTACAATGTTGATGATCTAATATAGCCATCATTATCATCAATCCCGATATGTAGATATGATTGGTAATAATCTTGATTGTTTTTGTTACTTTCATTATTAATATATCTGTTTATAACTTTGTCGTGTTGGCAATTGAAAATACTAACAATACAATAACAAGCTTTTTTCTCTCACCCTAATACTTCAACTCTCTTCTTTTTTCAATGAAATCTCATGTTAAATAGATATTTGTAACCAATTTTTTTTACAATAAAAAATGTCATTAGGTAATGTTGGGTGTGACAGTTGTATGCTTACAAGATTAAGGTTTACGTTTTCTTGGTGAGAAAGATGCCGTTCAGGCACTGAATTATCCAGTTTAATAGTTAACATCCGTTCAACTCCATAGGTATTAGCGGGAACGTTTGTTAAATCTCATTATTCTCACGTTTCTTGTCTCTAAATTATGTTCACCAACTCAATTGTTTTTACTCAGCTGAAGTTGCTACAATGATTTAAGAAAACATTCACGTCATTGAATAATATAAGCTTTTCTATACCAACAGTTGCAATCGGCTTCTTTTTGCAACTGCGATTCTATATCTGTCGTAATTGTTTGAGAATATACTGTTTAATTTACTATGTCCTGGTAGTATATGTAGCTAGAAACATGACACTTTATAAAGATAAACTTTCTTTCGTAGATATACATATATTATAGGACCTTCGAAAAACAAAGGTAAAAGTTATTAATTTCCTTAGGGTTAATAAAAAAAGACTTTTTCAAATCAATACTAATTTATTTAGATTGAAATCATGAATGGATCTATGTTAGACCACCACCTAGTATGGTCATTCAGTGCTTCCAGATTTTTAATGGTGGTCTAACGTTGATCCATTCATGATTTCAATCTAAACTCAACATCTTCCACAACCCTGTACTAATTTATTTCAACTGCCAAGAAAATATACATTGATCATAAAAGTCGTCAAAAGATAGAATACTTATATCTAATCACAACATTTAAATAACTTGATATTATAATTTAGACAATCATTATAAACTGGGAAGAAGTAAATAAGAGTAAAAGTATGGAAGAGTTTTTATAGTTTTAAATTCTTAAGGAATGAAACTAACTTTTTATCGGTTCATATTCCTATAAATATCGATTAGATATTCAGATGCATATCTATCCAAAATTTTCTCTGCATGGATGTATAAAATAAGCGAAAATTAGCTGTCTGGTTAAGCATACATTTAGGTTCAGAAAAATTATTATTCGGACCAATCGTTTCGTACATAACGGCTATTGTAGTGGAGTCATTCAATATAGTGAAAATTCCCATTTTGACATTTGATATATATAGTTACTTGTATTAATTATTCTAAAACTATTCATGATTATGATCAAAATGGGGTTTGCGGAGATTGTAGTAATTTTTATAGCTGAATTCATTAGTCTATGTTAACTAAATCACTATTGAAAACCTGATGGTCTAGCTTACATCGACTTATAAATTCAACTATTAAAATGTATTTATGATCAATCTGCAGATACTGTTTTTCTCATAATGATAGGATATAATTAAGACACAATAACATTCTTTTGTTTTGTAGAACGTGTTTGTTAACACGTTATCCCTTGACTTGAGAAGAATACGCGAATGATACATACCGAAAAATATAACCTTAGTTTTCATTGAATACCTTAGATGATATATCTCGAAATCAGTTTCAGTGGTACAAATGTATCTTTTCTTAAAATTCGGAATTTCAGCATTTTTCTATACGCTTTCATCAGTCTTATTAAAATTTCGTTTTTCTGAAAACACTTACAGTATAGTTCATTACCTTTTTAATTTCTACTCATAAAATTTCCCTTGTACTGATGTGTGATGTGGTGGCTTGGATCGCTGCATATTTTTCCCCATTTCTATAGTTTTATAACTGTCTGATTAAATTAGTCATTCATTTTGGAACTCAATAGTAACATTTGAATAAATAATTTCAGACAGAGGAATCGTAAAATGTCAACTGAAGTATAAGTTGTATTCCGGAAGTATTGGTCTCAAATTATTGTTTTGGTGAACTGTATCAGATTTTCTAGTATCTGATCTTTTCAAAACACTAATAAAGTGTCATTTAACAGAGAATTCAATTGTTGTCTAATATAAAATGAGTTATGATAAGAAGACTGACAATATGACAGGAATTTCCAAAACATGACTTGAAGGAGAGTACACATGTTTGTCGTCTGACAATTCATTTAGTCACAAGATGATTAATAAATAAACATAAACCACTGAACGTATGTTAAGTTCTTTTCTTTTGAATGATTTCCTTGTTCAGAAAGAAAATTTCGAGTATTTCACACTTCTGTTTTGCGTAATAGCTTCAAGTAATTTCTGTTGTTATGGGATTCAATAAACACTACATAAGAAATTTGATTAGTAAGTATTTTAACAAAATATAATTTGTAACCTTTATCATATACACTATACAATATTAGTAGTGTGTTGAATCGAGTTGTTTAGTGGTGAAAATACCGATGAATTATGTATTTACAAAGTAATAAATTGGAATAAATAGATGAATGATAAGACTACGAAATGTATAATTTTGTAAGTAGTCATTTGAGTTACTGTGTTACAAATCTGTAAAAGAGTGTTACATTTTTTCAATGAGTTTTCGTTGAATTTTTCTCATCTGATATTCTTGTTGCTCATTTCAGACTTCTGCCGAAATTAATCCGTCAAATTTAGAAAAACTAGCAAGTGTTACATTTATTGTTGGTAGTTTCGAAAAATCTGGAAAAGTAAGATCATTTGATGTGATATTTTTAACTCTTTGCTTTGTTGTCTTTCGAGTACTTTTCAACTATAATTGTTTTCTCATGAAAGTGGTTTGAATAACATGATATGTGCTTTATATGGTTAAAATAATAGACTCCTCCATCCATATAGTTTTCTTTCTTAAGCATAATACGAGCCTAGGTAATAAATTTGATACTTGTTCAACACCTAGCCTGTAGAAACTGGGTTACGTCTCTGTAATGGCTTTATACGTAAAATATTTATCTGTTGATCTTGTCGCTTTTAACTCCAATTCATTTAATTCGATTCAGGCAAACGTATGTTCGAAAGTCGAACACGTAAATCTCTACGTGGACAATAATTCATATTTTTATGTTTAAACGTAAGCCGACCGACCTATTTATTATTTTCAAGATGATGTTCAATTTTTAATTTTCCATTCTGCCTTATTGAAACTAAAAATCTAGTTAGTTTTGATATCATACATTCATCATATAGTGGAACCAATGAGATAGCTACTATCTATACATGAAATACCAAACAGAACTAGTAGGTTTTAGCTAAACCTCGTAGATAGTGAGATAAACCTTTGCAACTGAAATAAATCTTTCGTGGTACTTTTCTTGGATGGAACTATATCCTTTAGGGATTGCTATTTTTTATTTATTGATATTTTCTTACCTTATTTTCTTCATATTAGTATCACCTTACATTGGCATTTATTTTTAAATCGATTATGCGTCACTAATAATGTAATTTTAATATATAGTTCACATATTAGCGTACATACAGTTTACATCATGGTCAGACTTTATCTAGATAATTGTTGAAAATCAAAAATAAATAAACAGTCTTTTCGTCCTAGTATACAATTCCTGAATAGTACACATCCATGATCTATCCAGGGATCGAAGCCCGGATCTTCAAGTCTCTCAGCAAACACCTACTGTTTAGACTACTGTGTAAGCATAACAGCATTCACATTTCTATCTTCAGCCAACTGGTGAAGATCTTGGGCTTGATTTATGGAAAGCTCGTGCATATGAATTGTTAAGGTGTCCTATACTGAGATTGAAACAGTTGCCGAATATTTCTAGACTTTCACTAGTCATTTAGTTTTAAAGTGAACTACAAGTTAAACAATCTCCACACTTGCTCTATGCTACTAATATTCATATTAATTAAGTTTTTTAAATGTTTTTTTGTTCGTTCAATTTTGCAGATTGTATTTAATCTACTATCTGAATTAAATCTGCGTTTGTTTAACGTAAATTCACTCAATGAAATGCGTACAATTTTCACACGTTTGGCTAATGAAGCACAAAGCTATACACGACGTGTATCCGATGGTGATTATATTAAAATTTGTATACTCGGTGGAAATTTATTAATTAATCTTGTCTTACGTGCTTATGTAGATCAATTAAGTTGTAGATCTACAGAATTGATAACTGCTTTTCGATTTTTCATTATACCAATTGATGGATTAACTAAATTTATTCATCATTCATCATCATTACATCAACGAAGTCGAAACAATCTAATGAAAATTAATCAGATATCAGAAGTTGGTAGTCAACAACGACAACAGCATACAATGGATATATCAATTAACACTGGATGTAGTCAATCTAATCTGAATGATTGTAAGTTATTCTCACCGTATTTGTGGTTAATCATTCATGATTTTATTTTGTTCACTTAATCATTCTCGTAGTTGTTGTTATTTTTCTAAAAATAAAACAACAACAATTTTTGCCTCTGAAGAAGAGTATTCAAAGTTCATATTAATGAACATTATAGTTTTCACCATTTGATTATAGAATAATAATAATATTGTCTAGTGCCTAAATAAATCAGATTTAAGTTTACTTTCCTCCAACCACCTAACATCAAATATTGTTTTTAATTAGATATTCTTAATGCTTTACTCTAATATCCAGATATATTATGCATAAGCACACATATGTAAAACATTAAAACAGTTAAGGTCGTTTTGTAGGTTAATGATAAGAATCATGTAAATTATAGTACTATCAAATTTTCACTTTGAATTTCTATCACGTACGTACTTACTTACACCTGTTACTCCTCGCGAAGGAGCATAGGCCGCTCACCAGCATTCTCCATCCAACCCTGTCCTGGGCAATCCTTTCAAGCTCTTTCCAGTTCTTATTCATCTTTTTCATATCTGCTTCTATTTCCCGACGTAATGTGTTCTTTGGCCTTCCTCTTTTCCGCTTCCCTTCAGGATTCCAAGTTAGCGCTTGTCTCGTAATGCAGTTTGATGATTTCCTCAATGTATGTCCTATCCATTTCCATCGTCTTTTCCTAATTTCCCCTTCAGCTGGAAGCTGGTTGGTTCTCTCTCACAAAAGGCTGTTGCTGATTGTATCCGGCCAATCGATGTTGAATATCTTGCATAGACAGCTATTGATAAATACTTGTACCTTCTTGATGGTGGTTGTTGTAGTTCTCCAAGTTTCAGCTCCGTACAGTAGAACTGCCTTGACGTTCGTATTGCAGATTCTGACTTTGATGTTGGTTGAAAGTTGTTTTGAGTTCCATATGTTCTTTAATTGAAGGGATGCTGTCCTTGCGTTGTTAATCCTCGCCTTTACGTCTGCATCTGAACCTCCTTGTTTATCGACGATGCTTCCCAGATATGTGAAGGATTCCACATCTTCCAGAGTTTCGCCATCAAGAGTGATTGGATTGCTGTTCTCCGTGTTGTGTTTGAGGACCTTGGTTTTTCCTTTGTGTATTTTGAGGCGTACTGATGCAGAGACTGCTGCTACACTGGCTGTCTTTGTCTGCATTTGTTTGTGTGTATTGGATAGGAGGGCTAGGTCATCTGCGAAGTCTAAATCGTCTAATTGGTTCTGAGCTGTCCATTGTATGCCGTGTTTTCCCTCAGATGTCGAAGTCTTCATAATCCAGTCGACCAGCAGAAGAAAGAGGAAGGGAGAGAGTAGACAGTTTTGTCTGACTCCGGTCCTTACTTGGAATGCGTCTGTCAGCTGTCCTTCATGCACTACTTTGCACTGTAGTCCGTCTTATGAGTTCTGGATAATGTTGACAATCTTCTCAGGAACTTTATAATTTCGAAGAATTTTCCATAACGTTCTCCTGTCCACACTGTCAAACTCCTTCTTATAATCAATAAAGTTGATGTATAGTAACGAATTTCACTCTACTGATTGTTCGAAGATGATCCATAGTGTCGCGTTTTGGTCCGTGCATGAGTAATCCTTATTTAATCTAACTTGTTGATCTCGAAGTTGAGCGTCTACTGCTTCTTTCATCCTGTTCAGTAACACTCTGTTTAAGACTTTCCCTGGTATTGACAGTAGTGTAATGCCTCTGTAGTTTTCACACTTGCTCAGGTCTCCTTTCTTCGGAATCTTGATGAGGTGTTCTTCTTTCCAATCCATCGGCACTTGTTCCTCCTCTCAAATCTTCTTGAATAGAAGATGAAGCATGTTTGTAGTTACTTCGATATCCGACTTCAGTGCTACAGCTTGTATTTTGTCGGGTCCTGCTGTTTTCCCGCTGTTGATTTGTCTGATGGCCATTTTGATTTCTTGCGTCGTTGGTGGATTGGCGTCTATAGGAAGATCTGTGTGTGCTGCTTCGACGTCTGGTGTATTCATTGGAGCCGTTTTTTTCAGGAGTTCCGCTGTTGCTGAGTTTCAGTGATTGGCCTACCTTCTTTGTCTTTGACCTGTCTCTTTGGTTTATTATATTTCCCTGCTAGTGTATACGTTTGTGTGGAAATATTGTGCCGCATATGACCCAGATTTGCAAATCTTTCTCCGATTTCGTTCCTCTCTCCCAGTCCGTGTAGTTCCATGATATCTTCATATCCGGTGTTGTTTATTCCGACTTTGGCTTTTAGATCTCCCATCAGAATGGTGAGGTCCTTTCTTGAGCACTTCGCTATGACTGATTGCAGCCTGTCGTTGAATTGATCTTTAACGTCGTCGTTGCTATCATTGGTGGGTGCATAACAATGGATAATATTCATTGTGATCCCCTCGTTCTTTGTTTTGAATGATGCTTTGATAATTCTGGATCCGTGAGATTCCCATCCTACAAGTGCATTTCGTGCTACTCTGGACAGCATTAGAGCAACTCCCTGAGTGTGTGGAGCATTTTCATCTTCGTGACCAGAGTATAGCAGCATCTCTCCCGTATTTAGCCTTTGTTGTCCAGCTTGGGTCCAATGGGTTTCGCTGATTCCCAGTACCGCCAAGTTGTATCTCCTCATTTCCGTTGCTGTTTGACTGGTCTTCCCGGTCTCCCACATTGTCCGGACGTTCTATGTACCGATAAAAATTGTTGCCCTGGTTGTTAGAAGAGGCATCGGCCTCATGGCTTCCGAAGGAACTCGGCTTTCACCTTGAGGCGTCATATTTCTCCTAAATGAAGACCTTCTAATTCCCAAGGCAGAGTTTAAATGGTTTGAGTTATTTTTTCTGGTTAGCGTTTTTTTAGCGAGTTAGTTTTCTACGGGATGGGGACGCTAACCCCATGCCCAACCCTCCTCCTTTATCGGGGCTTGTGACCGGCAGTAACTATGGTAGAGCTACAGGCGGAGTTTCTATCACGTACGTACCAGACAATCACTTTCGATTAGATGTAATTAACATGAAGCTCCCAGTTAATTTTGTCTCTCCAAAAAAATAAAGCGAAATTCCCGTTAACTACATTGCGTGATTGTAAGTCTGATATAAATGTGCCCACATAATCACGATAATTTTCATATACATATATTGTAGTACTATATTTATCTTTTATTCTAAAAAGAAAAAAAATTACTGCGTTTTTTTACCTTATGTATTTCTTATGCAGCAGATTCTGATCGTACTTCGCTACCATCAATTCATGGATCAACATACTTCAACAATCTGTTTACTTTTCATCTTTGTCAAATTGATCCAATTTATGGAAGCTTATTTTCAGAATTATGCAATGAATCTGCTTCTGTCGATGCTAATTCTACGATGAATGATTTAGATTTGTTAGTGTTAAGATCTGAATTGATTAATCGTATTGTGAAATATTTAACAAATGGTAGAAATGTCCATCCATTTCCTATTGGATCATGTCTTCTTGGCTCATCGAAAAATACTTCAACTAATGTAAATAAAATGCAAAAATCTCTAACTACAGATTGTGCTAATGCGACGTCAAATTTATCTCCAACCAATATAAATATTGCAAATCAGTCAGGTCCAGGAATAACAGACCAAAATGCTAGTTATTCAGATGGGATTTCTTGTTCAGGTAAGGTTTCATTAGTCTAAAAACCAACAAATAATTCATGTCAAATGCCTTTAATTTTTTATCGTTGTAATATTTGGATTAGGGTTTAAGACTTTATATTCCATAAACAAAAAAGATGACTAAAAAATTTAGACTTTTATTATCATTCGACAAAAGTGATCAAGTCTCACGATGACATGAATATCCTAGTATGTAAATGCAACCGAATTATCGGTCTATATCACCTGATAAACTGTTATCAAAAGACTGGTTAACTGAAACGAATTTTTTTTCCTGGTAGAATAAAATACATTTACAAAATGGACTAAACACAAAAACAAACCTAATAAGTAATTTAATACATAAACGATCAGGAGATTCAACTTTCTTTAGTCACAAGCAAATAAAATTAATACCTAACTATCAGGTCTGTTACGTAACACAATTTATTTTTCTTGTAAACGCATTTTCAAAAGCAGTGAGTGATTGTTGCGCTTTACAATCGAAACAGTAATCGATTGAAAGAATTAACCCTTTTTTTTGTAGATACAAATCTTTGCAAATGTAAATTTCTAGGTGATTCAAAAATAATTCATCTTTTTCTATGTATCTAAATTAAATGTGTTCTAACAGAGACTATTCTTGTCACTGAATAATTCTTCAATTTCTATGTAATTCTAGTCGAAATGTATGAAATGGAATATCTTTTCGTAAAAGTGCTTATCCTAGCATACATTTATTTGAAGTCTCTGTGATTTTAATTTGAAACTAAAAGCATTCATATCACAAAGTAATGTTTCAAGACAAATATTGAAATAGTTTAGTCGATTTAAAATTATATGACAAACTCTATTAATTATTATGAATTACTGATACCCGTTGAATAGACATTTCTTTCACCCTTAGATATCTTAATTTATGGTTGAATATATCGTTCTTAATGTTGTGCTCTTTTTTATTTATTTATATATTTATGATGTTTATGTTTATTTGATTTATGTAATAAACAGTCAATGTTGATACGTAAAGTATATAACACAGTAAACAATTACTATTTTCATTAATATATGCATTGCTTTTTATATGAACTTACGTAGATAGTGTAGCCACTGAAGAATAACAATAGTGTAGTGAACAAAAACTCAGGTGAGGAAAACGAACTTATTGTTTAATACACAGAGTGACTTAGAAAAAGATGACAATCATACATTAAATATATCATTTGAACAGCTTCTTTTTGTTCTTTTACATACTCCACTGTTCCTCTGACTCTGTTGTTATTTCGATTGCTCTCCTATTTCCTTCCTGTTCTCTTCATCCCCATCTTCTACTAGCAGGCATTCTACTCCCGATTGCTGCTACTTTCTACTTATATTTTTCAGCATGCGTAGCATACATTGCAATAGCAACTGTACAAATAAAGTAATTATTAAATGTGTACATACCAATGAATAAACAATTGAATATTTTTCTGTCATCCTTTGAAGTTATAAAAAGAAAATGAAACAGTTTCATTTAATATCTTTAGTTTATCAGTTATGTAACGTTAAAGAATTATTTTCTCATCAAAATTCCACATTTTATTTTATATTTATATTCTTTAGGTAATAATATTCAGAATGAAGAAATGGTTATTCCATTCATTTTAAATGTTCGTCTAGGCAATTGTTCAACATTAAATTATCCTGGTTTATTGACAACTGTTCCAACACAAATTAAATCTCAACACCAACAGCAGACTAGTCGATCGTTTACTGCCGATTCATCTCATTCATGTAATACATCTACAGTAGTAGCTAATACAAGTACCGCTGACTTAGATTTTAAAACACCTAGTGATCCAGAACAATCTTATACTAGACGTAATATTAGTCCTGAATCAGTTTCACATAATACAACCATAGCACCAAGGTAATATGCAGTTTTAATTAGTGTATATCCTTATTAACTAATTTATTATTATCGCATACTCCAAATGGAGTATGTAAAGCGTTACGGTAACTGTTACTAAGAAGACATTAATATTGTTGAATTTTGTAATTACTTGAATTTTTATCATCAATACGCTTAGTTTTTGATTTCAAATGTGAAAAATTGAAATATGCTAACACATCTTTCAAGATACTTACAATTCGTAGAAATGATCGTTAAATTGTTTTGTTTCCTGAAATTAATGTATTCTAAATTCTATCTACGCTACTCCATCTACTATACGGTAAATATTCTATACGTTTTAAAGGTTATTGAGCTGTAATTATATCAGAACAAAATTTACTTATTGAACTTTTCTTCATTTCACTCTTTTTTCTATCAAATAGATTCATGTAATATATTTAGTTCATTATGTAATCCATATGAACTAGGCATACTAATTAGTTTGATTTTTACTAATTAATTAATTTCTAGTCGAAAAGATATACATACAATGAAGAATCTGGTTCAAATGGAAACATATCACATCATGACGATAGGTAAATAATAAGAGAAAAAACAGAAGACTTGAAATTAATAATAAGTACACTGTTGGTAGTTGGAAATTCAAAATTAAACAAATGAATTAACTTCGGTAAATAAAATAGAATTTCATAGAACTTTATTTGTTTTTCAAAATGGGAAGACTGAATACATCTGAACAAGTTCAATCGGTTTTATAAAACCCACTGTTTAATCATGAATTTCATTCATGATGAACAAATCTACGTATTTTCTTTATCTCACGATGTTTAAGTTAGACCGAATTAAAGAGGCTTTTGGTGTATATGTGGTGCAACTCTGTCAAAAATCTATCAGAACTAATCAGATCAGCCAAGGATTGTAGTGACTATGAGTTGGGGAGACTGCGAATAATAAGTTGGCAATAGATTAAAAATAGTTGATCATATAACAGTAGTTAATGGGTCAAACGAAATCAATGATAAAAGGAATATATATATATATATATATATATATATATATATATATATATATATATATATATATATATATATATATATATATAATATGACAATTAAAGTAATTTATATGACTTAGTTTTCATTCTCTGGATAAGGCGATAATGCAGTAATTGATTACAATGTTTGGGATTCAAGATATACCATTGCATAAATCAAAAAAATATCTCTTATCTCCTTTTATCATTGTTTCTTTCTGTCGATTTTTTTTCACATTATACTATTTTACTCTATTTTCATTTTGAAAATCATTCCTTGGGAAATAAATTTCTATCTAACTAATGGCTTTCTCATTTTCGATTTCGCTTTTCTCATTCTTCGCTTTCTTCCTTTTACGCTTTTTTCACTCTCGATTTATTCAGGTTCAACAGTTGTTTTGCATCCTATTTTAAGTACATTGATTTTGTTTTCATTTTAGGTTTTCTTTTCTGTTTTTTTTCTGTCAAACCGTACTGAAAATGTTCTAATATTCTGATCTGTAATTACAAACCAAATAAGTTAGATCTTTTTTCTGTACATTAATTTTTTTTAATTTTTATTTGGTTGTACTTTATTTTGTTTAGTTTTTCAAGCCTATCTGAATTCTCCATTAGATTGTTACTTGGGTTTTCTCACACTTGAAAATGAATCATTCTTATATGCATGATTAAGATAAACTTAATGTTAAAATTTATATTGGAGTTTAAGTGCAATCACTTGTTTCTTCATGGTTATCTTTTTCAAAAAAATTTAACTAATCAGCTTTTAAATAGGTTTTTCAATGTAAAGAGAAATTCGTATACAATATCGGAAGACATGTTTATTTCTGATTAATACCAGCTTGTGAATTTTAAGATGAAAACAAATTGAATGTCTAATGGAAGAAAGCTAAAAGAGAAATAAAGATGTAGATAATGACACTGAACAGTGTTAAGTTTACCGTAATTGGATTTAATGAATTATAGAAAAAACGGGGAAGTAGTATATTTTAGAAAGTTATATATACAGCAATATAATTTGTTTATGAAGAGTTACCAGGATCATCTTACACCGGTGTGATTTTTTTATCGAAACAAATCATCGTTTTCAAGAAACACTGATTCAATTACACACATTGTCAACATAATGTGACACAATCAAATATAGAAGGCTTTAGTATTCCTATGAGATGTAAGGAATCTAGAATTCGGTTCGACTGGATTTCCTGTTCTATCTAACTGAAGGTCAATATTATTGAAACATAGAGACATCCATAATTAATTACCTAGCTAGTTGTTTAGATTTTAATTACATAAACGCTCTCCACGGATCTCTCACAAATGATGTTATATAGCATATCAGCTAAACAATTCGATCCGTTAAACGTGTTATCACAAAGAGTATTCTGTATTACGATTACTATATATATTAAACGACAGTTTTTATTGATTTTTCTTTTGGGTCACCTTATGGTATAATCCTTACAATGATTTCAACGTGTCTGTAAACAAATATCTTTATTAAAACTTATTAGCTTTTTTATATACAAAATTGTAATTGGACGTATTGTGATATTATCTGTTTATATTTATATGTATTTGATCATAACTTGGTCACTTCAAAAGTAATAATGATGTAAGAATACTGATGCTGAAACCATAATGTCATAAGCTATTAATTTCAAACGAAATCTCCAACCAGTAGGTGGTAGGTAACCATGCGTAGTACCTGTTTTAACAAATTGAGCCGATGATTCACAGCTTCACCAACCAAGCACCATATATCTAGCTTCAGCATTTGCTTGTTCGTTGTCCCACGATTAGTAGGCAATTCCTTAAAAACATAAGTGACCAAATACTCGTAATCTATAAATATTTTCTACTTTCATAAGTCACATTTCACAGCCATAAGTAAAACATCACGAGCGCCTAATCAGTATATTCATTCTTTAATAGACAAACATAAGTGGTGTAAGTTGTCAATAGGCATTTAAGCGTTTTGGGATCTTACGAAGTTTTCGTTTCCCATCAACTTTGCTGAGCTGATGAGACTCCGAATGTGCGTGAGATATTCACAGCTTTATCGAGAAGAACTGTTCCATCTAGGTATCTTCAGTCATCAAATAAGCCTTTAAGTAAGAGATCAATCCCTGAAAGATTAGATAAAAAGTGTTGCTACTATTCATGGGAAAGCTGTCGAGTTTTTATATCAGTTCTCCTTGATTATTTCACTCTGATCATTTTAAAATTGTTTTTTTTGTCGATATTTATTTGTCATCTATTATTGTTGTTTCTGTTTATTTTTCTCCATTTATTGTTTATATGACTAGAATACGTCGAAATTTTTCACTATCATTTCGTTCACATAAAACACTACTTAAACGAAAATCTTCATGGGGAAATGGATCTTTTAGAACTAATAACAAGAAGAATAGTTCTAGTAGTAGTATTGCTACTACTGCTACTACACTTTTATCTGATATGCTACCCGGGTACATTAAATATCTACATTCTATACTGCATACGATAATCGTAAATACCATTTCTCTAACCAGCAAACTTTATGCCTTTTGAGCTTTTTATTTATCTGAACCACAAACAGTATATTTACACAATGCTTGTGTTACGAAGTTAACAGGTTTTTTCTCTATGTATGTGTGTTATTTATGGTATTTTTTTATTCGATTTTCAACTATTTTAGGTGATTCATTTTCCATTAATCTTCCATTAATTTATCTAATACCTGGCTGAAATAATCAATTTTAGTCTAATTTTTGCATGTAACACCTTCAACATTATGGAGTTTACCATTAACTCGACTTTCTTTTGTGTTTTTTTTCAACCGTGCTTTCATCAGTGTATTTTTTTATAACTAGAGAGAATTAAAATAAACAACGTATAGTTCGTGGTGTATATGAGAAATTTACTTATTATGTGTACGTATAAACACCTATTAAAATGACCTACATGTTTTCACCTTTTATGAAAGATTTCTCCACATATACTCTTATCGTAAAATAAACTAGTTTTTACGCTAGAATAATAACAGTGGATAACAATAAAATGCCTACAGTATAATCTGTTAATCAGTTTCCGAACGTGAAAAAATACAAAACAGTTATCACCATTTTGTTTTGTGTATCCTTATTTTGACTTATCATTAGTGGACAAGATCATTCAATTGAATTAACACATTAGTTGGCTTTTTATTGTAAAATGAATATTTAGTCACAATCCGATCAAAGTTGGACAACCATTGAAAACCTGGAGGCACTGGACGGTCATTTCATTGTAGTATGAGACTCCTCAGTGGGAGTAAAACCCGTGACCTTCGGTCTCGCACACAGATGCTTAACCTATAGACCGCTGGACTGGTATCCAGTAGTGTTAATGTCTAAATACAATCAATCCATCTTCTATTATCTTCGATGGGTAACTGCCTCACACCCGACATGGGTTAGCTCCACTGATCACAGTTTTTCGCTAGAACTCAGGATATTTCCTTTTTTAGCTGGTCACTAGTGGGCTGAGCTCATGATAAATGTTCCTATGGGTTGTGGAGATTGTTGATTAACAATAAAATCACGAGTCGTTCAAACTTAGAATACCTGTGAAAACCTAGATGCTCACTTCTGAGAGGTCCCATACTAGGATGAAACGTCCATCCAGTGCTTTCAGGTTTTCAATGGTTGTCTAACTTTGATCGACTCGTGAATGTGTTTTTAGTCAAAAATTCTCACAAGCCCATTGTGGCAATATAAAAATGGATTCAATTAAACATGGATTATTTGACATGTTTCTGTCATAGTTTTGTTCCGCTAATTAAATAATGATAATAAGTAAAGATTAACAATTTTCGTGGAATAGATTATAAATCTGTTTCAGATAGTTAAAGGTAATTGTTATAAAAACCTTGGACCAGAGTTCCTCCTTCCTCCGTATCATTCATCGAGAATCATCTGCATTCTTGATTGATATGATACTATCGTAGGGATTTAACTTTGGTTTACAGTGTACCATATTTAAGGGTCTGAATAATCGACGACAGTAGCCTTAATTTCAAATGAGCCAACTGAATGACATTTTTGGAAACTTGATATATATACGGATACTGATTAATATACTAGTAATCAAGTAACGTGGATAAAATTGATTAAAATTAAATTCTCGAAAATGATTTTTGGTGTAACTTATTTATCAAGCTTATGTTAATGTACTCGACTTTGCCCCACATCTTATATCAATATGTGTACCATCAGTAATTCGATTACTCAAACTGAAATGTGTGCGTCTCGGAGAGAGGTCAAATGTGTGATCTAATAGTTCAAAGTCATGCTTCAACCATTAAATTCTGTTTTTTATTATGAAAATCAATAGTTGAGGTTCATTCTGTTCATCAGTGGTGTGCAAACTAATAAACTAATAATATGTTTACTTTTAATTTTGTCATAATATTTATATAGAATATTATTTCTGACCTAATTACCAAATGTAAACGAAGTCATTATATCAACGTGTATTTGTGTTTGTTAAATTAGGTTTTGCTTAATTAATTAGTTGTTTCTTTTATGTCTTTGTCTTTCTACTTGTCGTTTTGTATACTGTATGACATTTTTTTGATATTTTCATTTATCTTGGGAATATATGTTTTATGCATTTGAATTTCATTCGTACCATTTATTTGTACATTTTTTCTCATTCAAGTAACTGTGGTGATTTAAATATTTCATAGAGTATTACATCAATCTTTTATCTGAAGAAAATTATTTAAATATACGTATATTTTCGCCTTAATAAAACAATTAAAACTATAGAAATAACTTTAATTTGCGAGCCTTTTTTTCTCTTTTTATAATAATTCATTTTTTTAACAGTTCTATTGTATAATCACTCAATGATTCCAATCATCTCCAGCAATAATTAACTCTAAATATTCTATTCATTCAGACTAATCAACAAAATTTCTGAAGTATTTTATATTGATTACGTGTTTTTATGTTGAAATTTTTTAAAATTTATTATTTCTCATTTAAACAAAGTTTGATATTTTAACTTTTAGTTTGACTAAATTTCGATTAAGGTTACAAAAATGGATAAAAAATGAAATTGATTACAGGAATTCATTCATATTATACATTAGATATAATTCTCTTATTGTTACTCAAAGATTGATCGAAATGTTTTCTGATTATTTTATGTGTTATTCAATAGTTATTTCATATAGGCAAAAAAAGATTTTTGGATACTGATGTAACTTAATTTTCTATCCATGATTTAACAAAATATTTGAATCTTGTCGAATTTTATGTGTGTGTGTGCGCTTATATTGAAAAGCTGTAATAATTATGTACGAAAGCAATCTATACTTTATATTCCTTGTATATATATATATATATATATATATATATATATATATATATATATATATCATCTTAACCTTGAGCGCTACATCAATATTGTTAAGAATCACTGAATGTCCAAAGTTCTCTGTTTTGTAAAGTATATTAGAATACCGTATCTTTCATAGGTGGAGTCTAATAAATATACATGTCTTAGGACTCATCATTTGCCTTAAATTCATGTCTCTGAAATGTTGCTTAACAATAATATCGAGGAATTTTATAGACTTTACCTTTATGTTCAATATTATGATTGGTTTTCAGCCATTGTAATAATGGAACAATTAATGCATGTCACCAACATTATTTTTTGCAAAATACTTCACACGTTTTTGTAGCTGCCAATATGTTTAGATTTTAATTACATAAACGCTCTCCACGGATCTCTCACAAATGATGTTATATAGCATATCAGCTAAACAATTCGATCCGTTAAACGTGTTATCACAAAGAGTATTCTGTATTACGATTACTATATATATTAAACGACAGTTTTTATTGATTTTTCTTTTGGGTCACCTTATGGTATAATCCTTACAATGATTTCAACGTGTCTGTAAACAAATATCTTTATTAAAACTTATTAGCTTTTTTATATACAAAATTGTAATTGGACGTATTGTGATATTATCTGTTTATATTTATATGTATTTGATCATAACTTGGTCACTTCAAAAGTAATAATGATGTAAGAATACTGATGCTGAAACCATAATGTCATAAGCTATTAATTTCAAACGAAATCTCCAACCAGTAGGTAGTAGTTAACCATGTCACCAACATTATTTTTTGCAAAACATTTGACACGTTTTTGTAGTAGCTAATATATTTACTAATATAATATATTTTTTTTGCCACATTTTCTATTCATGTTGCTTTTAATCATAATATGTGTTTGCAGCTTTTTAACAATATGCAACGGATATCCTATTTTCCTTTATATGACTTAACTATGTTTGGCTTTGCTGCTTTTTATTAAAAATCTTTTTTAAATTAATCTACCCAGTACTTCATAATGCGCATTAATAAAATTCTAACAATGAATTTTAATGTTAATTTATACTTTATTTCAAGTTACTATTAACTAATCCGTTTACGAATATTATTTTGGCAAATTTAGATCACATTCTTCTGTTCAAAGAAGCGGTCAGTCACCAATATTTGGTTCTGATCGACGCCTTTGGGATATTCAAATAGAGTACTGGTCGATACCTAGTCAGACTACAACAATAAGTAGCAATAGTCAAAATAATCAAATTACTTCAATGTCATCGTCGTTTTCATCCGCGAATTCTGTTTCAAATAATATAAATACTAACAGTGCTTTTTCTTGTCCTACAAGTCCACCAAGTACAGCATCGGATCCTATATCACCACCGCGACGTTCTACTGTAAAAACTATATCACCTGGTTTAGTCGTTACGATAGATTCATCATCCAATATAACCGGTTCAATGTTATCTTCGCCACATCGTAATGGTGACGTATTTAATTATGGTACGGAATCCCATTCTAACAGTTTAGTTTACTCACCGATTCGTCATGTACAATTCAATTTAAATCAAACACATACTCAACATCTCGCTCTTGGATTATGGACGAAGGAAAAGAAACAAAAAAGTACGTGTTTACCGACTTAAAATGATTATTTTATAATGCATATGAATATATATATATATATATATATATATATATATATATATATATATATATATATATATATATATACTACATCCTTATACACATTCTTGTATATATTACTACCATTTAAGTAACTGCTTCTATAAATTTGCTATTCATCTTGTTGTGCTAATGAGGTGTAACAAGTTGGAGTGATTCATATATGTGCCTCGTCCTACGCTGTATCTGACTGACTAGCTTTAGCAACCGAGCAGTCTTATTAGCCTCTAAACTTAAAATATAGCTCTAGACTACTCACATAAATCCTAACCGTGAAACGAATGTATAATAATACCTTACATGAATGTTATCTTAAAAAATTAAATGCACCCACTTTGATTTACTCATTCATTTGCTCTCAACATATGTTTATATAGTTTATATGTTTATATAGCTCATTCCAATGTTTGACAAGTGCCAGAAATGATAAAATACTTGAACTTAGAACTATTTACAAATTTATCCATTTTTATTTATTGTATACTTGAGTTTCTATGGAACCATACTTCAATCGTGTTTACGATCTATGTATAATTAACCAATAAACACACTGAGCAGTTATTCTATTAAGACAGATATTATCAATCATGAGTTCTGTTTCTATCATAAACTAACTTGTTATTTGGAAATTAACTTGAACCCAATCAATAATAAACTAATAATTTATGGATTAATGGATATTGTTCACCTATATGAAATTACCATATTTATGTATTTCAAGATATCTGGTTTCTCTTGATATAAATGTTCAGCACTCGAGTTAGTATTATAATATTAAAACTAATCAATCTTAAGGAAATATGAGAATTCATTTAATTTTGCAGAAAGTGCATTTTTCTAGTTTTTCCAAGAATTGTATTTAAAGAATAATAAATTTCCTTTTTGATAAAGTTTGGTTCTCTAAGCCGGATGGTTTAGTCGCGGAGATTTCATCGTTATTCTGAACGACATCATCAGAACAAACTTCAAGTAGATGTGAAGTGTTCGAATTTCTCTATATATAGTTTAAAACGTAAAATTTATAAATTAAAATATTGATATCCTGTGTAATTTAAACACATCAACTTTTGTTTTCTTGTTTTCAAAAAAGCAGGTATCATTGTCCAATTAACGATTTTATTGTAGTTTTTCTCTGTTTGTTCTAATATTGTATACAGAATCTATTTTCAATCGATAAAACTTAATCAATTTTCACTGTATTTCTCGACTTTTTCAAATATTTCAGTTATGCTTATCGGTCGTAAAGGTAAAGAACTTAACTGTCGTTATGAGTTGATTACTGGTATTCAACGTCTTTTATGTACTGGACGTTGTTGTAATTTGCATAATACTAGTTCAACTAATAATACTGAACGATCAAAAGATACAGAATCCAGTCATCATCATCATTCTTCATCAGCCGGTATAATATCAGATTCAAATGTTCTATGCTCTCCAGATTATAAAACTTCAAGTACAATATCTGCATTAGGCTTAGCTTTGACTGGTGGTAATGCTAGTAATTGTGGTTTTTCAGGGTTTACCGGGAACAATAATCATATGATGAGAGGTTAGTCACTTTTGTCGTTGTTTTTGTAGTAATAATTACATGATAAAACATACAAGATGAAATTTGAATACATTAACATAAAAGTTCAGATTTTCTCTGTTATAATACAAATCAAAGACTGGTGCAGAACAATATGAATTCATATTATTTCGTTAGACTCTCATCAGTCGCTTACAACCTATAATATTTTAAAATCAACGTTATTACAGATATTGACATACTTACAAATACAAATATGATTAGAGATTAATGTGTTTGTCATGTTGTAGCGAAGATATCAACGGATTTATTAAGGTCAGAAATTTTTTCTTTCAGATAAATAAATAAAGTGTGAGAGTGAAAGTTCCAGAGCATAGAACTGGTGTCCAGAAATCAGAGAGTTTACAGACATATGATGAATGTGTAATGAAGTAACTGAAAACTGATTAATAGTAATAAAAAAAAAACACACGAGTTGAAGTCAGCCAATTATGAATGTAAGAGAAGTGACAATTATGTTATCAAAATTTGAGGAGTTGAAATGATGAACGATGCAATAAAAAGGATATAATGTTAGCAGGACAAAGAGGTTTATTAGTTTCTTTTCGGACGCAGATAGCTGGTTCTAGACGTTTGATCGCTATAGCTTCGACGAATTTCGGAAGATTGGCGTTCGATTGTTTATTAATCACCTTGAAAGACTTCAGTGTATGGACGTGATGTTCTGTATCAAGGAGGTATCTCGAGAGGGCACTACTGATTGCTTTTAATCCACTTGACCTTAGACTTTTTATAATGTGCCCTTTGGATCGTATGTAAACTCTGTTTTCTGTTCTATTAATCCAACTATTTTAGCAGATGCATGTAAATATATATACACATGGTTTATTTACCTCCTAATTAAGTAGCATACGGTTTCAGTCCATTTATATGATCAAATTATAAGAATTAACTGTGTAATTAAAACTTAAGAGTTTACTGTTTAATCAATTATTAGAATTTCTTAAAGTATTTCGGCTTTGATTCATCCAACTAGTTCATAGTAAAGTCAACTTTTGAACTATAATTTGTAATATATAATCTTGCAGTGTGAGAAGCTACTCAGTTTATCTATTTATATCACTTATTGTGTATCATATCAATCATGGTTTTCAATTAAATTTAATAATATACATAAGTAGCTTTTAATTTTGTGTTATATAACTTGGATTCTTAACTCTCAACTCTTACTTCTGACGTAACTGGTATTAGTACCGGATTTGTTATTGAGCTATTGATTATTTACGTACTACAGACAAACTGTTTTGAAGCATAAAGTAGTTACATTGGTAACATTATTTTAATATTTTATGTTTTTGGTGCATACAAATACCTAAAATTCAATACCGATGTTTCATCATTGTTAATGTTGTTTTCTTATCCTTAAAGTTTCGATAGATGGTGTTGAATGGACCGATTTAAAATTTTTTCAAATCACTCCAGTTTGGCGTACACATGTAAAATGTTTTCCAGTTGTTCTATTGAATGCTAATCAGGTGGATACAGCAACTCTAGTCAAATAAAAACAATCATAAGTATTATTATTAGTTCAGTGAGATTTCTCTGGCGAAAAAAAATAAACTGAATGTATAGTCTATGTATTTCTTCTCTATATGTTTGTATCATTTTCGCATCTTTTCTTCGGATATTCTGGATGCCAAATAATAAACCCTACTTAACAGTGAATAATAGTAATTGTAACAACAACAATGCATTTATCAGTGGTATTATTTTATTCATGTTTGTATGTTTTTCATTTCGCTACATTTATTTTTTTGTTTTCATAATCACTTTGTCTTCCAGATTATGTTGTTTGAATAGATTTTGTTTTGTTTGTCTATTTATAAGATTGATATCCATCCCTCTCATATATTGTAGATGCAAATCGTTTTTAGTTTCTGTCTATCCACTTTCACTACCTGATAACATTACTATTTCAAATACGTACTTCTATCTATTCCTTATATATATATATATATATATATATATATATATATATATATATATATATATATATAACTAATTTTCTTTAAACATTTATTTCAAAGTTTTGTTGAAACCCACTGTTTTATTTTCTGTTCACTTCATCACGAAGTATAAATTAATTTTCCTGTCTGTTTACTGTCAATCCGATTCAGAATACTTCTTGTTTTTTTTTAAAATTCTAACTTAAGATGTTTATACCACATCGTCAGGTCGTTTATATATCCCTCCAAACGTTTCCGGTTTTTGTGTTGTGTTTATTTAACTGTCTGCACGTTTACTTTATTTTTACTGTTAATTCTCTTGTCAATCGCGATTATTTATAGTTTTACACATATTTTATTTTTGCTTTTAAGGGAAAACTTTTATCCTATGAATGTCTTTTTCCTCCAATATATATATATATATATATATATATATATATATCACAAATATAAGTATACATCGTTTTGTCTTTCATATTCTGCTTTAGAAATTATTGTTCCTGCAAATTACTGTGACATTGATCCAATGTTTTATTTGTCAAATCAAATCATTCGATAATTGTACATCACATATATATTTTACAAGCTTCAATTGTATTATGTACGTGTCAAATAAAATTAGGGTTTTTTTTATAATCTTTACAAATGAAGCATTTTTTTAAAATAGAAACAGAACGACAATGACATAAAAAGGTTTTCTGAATCAATTGACAAGATTTAATGTGCTTTTTGTTGTTTTGTGTAACATTATTTTTATCTAGTTTTAATGCTTTATTGTTGCTAACACTGCCTGTCAATATTAATGATCTTTTAAATTTTTTTTATTATTTAGGATCAATATATATAATTATTATCATTGTTTATTTTGTCTGCCATGGCTATTTTGTTTTATACTAACTTATTTGTTTGATAGCAACATTCTTATTTACAAGCTTTCTCTTCAGTGCTAACTATATTCATTTGAATAAGATGGTTAGTATGTTATACATATATATATATATATATATATATATATATATATAGAGAGAGAGAGAGAGAGCATCTCATTAACTTGCTTTTTGTCCCTTCCAAAACTCTCTTGTATGCATATCTTTCTCATGATTATTCAATGAACATTTATCTTTACGCTTGGTCAACTTTTACTTGGTTATTAAATAAAATGTATAATTTTAATGAGGTTTATTGATGTTCAATTTAAATTATTCTTAGTATTCGAGGAAGAAAAAGGGATATCACGTGATTATCTCGATTTATATAAATAAATTGTTTAATTATGAATTTACTGCCTAATAAAATTAAGTATTTGATAAACAAATCTAATCTTCAAAATAGAAAACTTTTATACATCTTTATCAATTTAGTTAATAAGTCATCTAATTATAAATGACAGAATTTATTGTATGACATAATGTAAAGAAATTTTTTTCTTGGCACAAATTCCTATCGGTAAAAATTGGTATGACAAGAGAAAATTACCAAGCCAAGATTCAAATAGTAATTGTATCAATGATAGAAAATGTATCAAAAAGAGGTAATAGTCCAAGAAATAAAAACAATCAAAGCAAGAAATAAGAATTATGAAATAGTATTACTATGGTGTTCGTACAATTACTTTGCACATTGTCGCGTGGCTAATTCTGCTTTTAACATTTATTACATTCGAACGAGTTTGCAGTATTATCTGGCTTCACTTCTGTGTCAGCTGTGACCATTATAGTACGTGAGTGGTCAACTGCGGGAAAACTAGCTTGCATACTAAGTTATGTATAAACAAAGCTTCGAAACATTATAGTGGTATTGATATTGTAGCTGTTATTGGAAAACTGGATATAAATATAAACGCTAAAGTGTTTGTCGATTGTATGAAGCGATTTGAAATTGGCTATATGACCAGAAACAATGTCAAACGTAATGAAACTCTAGCTCATTACCCTACTTCCGTCGGGATGAAAATGTACATTGTGTCGAGAAATCGAGTTCACAGAAAAGTCCATTTTACTTCCATATAAAACCTAAAAGAAAAATGTCTCATATTGGTTCATCAGAGCGAGCAATATGTTATAAATTTTATTTTCAGATCGCAAAAAGAACAGGTTAAACGCAATTGAGGAGACCAGATTCAGTCACGGGATTGATTGCCGGAATCAGATTACCGTATGTGGAGAGAGAACAGATATAAATACTCTTTTCAGATTGTTAATAATGCATGTAGCAATTACGAAGCAGTGTCTGAAATTGACCTCCATTCCAGGAATACGTACAGTATACTAATTAGTTGTCCCAATTCATTTATTCTCAAGACCATGCAAATGTCAGTTGACTCAGTGATAATTTTTATTCCAATAAAACGAGACAGTTGATTCATTGATCCCAGGTGAGTACGAGCTTGGAAAACACTGGAGACTTGTGGTAAATTACACGATCACGCGCAGTTCATAATGGTAAATGCTTCATATGTTGTCAAGTTAGACACAAAGTCTGCGTGTTGTACTGCTGTTCATTCCGCTACGTGCAATCTTTTAATCCGGATCTAAGTAGTACGCAGATCATATGCTTTATTATTCAACCGACCGACAAATAAAGTGTACTCCTCAAAAGTCCAATTAAATATACAAGAATATAGGATATGACCTACTACAACGCAAAGATAAAATGTATTTGTGAACAAATTACAGAAATAAATACATTATATAATAAATAAACAAATTTGAGCAAATAATTTAAGTTGATACTTAATTTTAACTGATTTCAGTTCGCAGATGAAAAAAATTCCCATCTTAGTGAATTTCGAATGAACTCTCCTCACATTCGTACTCAGTATGTCGGATAGCATACCATGAAGATAATCGCAATCAATTAAGTAAATAATGGTCGTATTCTTCAGATTATGGGTTTACACGTAAATTTAAAAACAGAAATTGTCAAACTTATAAGATGATAGCATTACATTACGAAATACTATGTTTTATTTAATTGAACACATAAATATTGGTACAAGAGGCCACCAAATATGTGCCACAAAAAAAATGAGAATGGAAGAAGAGGATATAAGGTATTATTACCAAAAAAAGAGAACAATAACGAACATGACGGAAAAGTACAACCAGAAAGAATTCTTTCAGTTGGTCAGTCATCTGCAACGTAGAACCAGACAACTATATATACATCGGTTCAAGTTGCCACACCTCATTAGCACAACAAGATGAACACCAAATTCATCAAGTAGTTACTTCAATGGTAGTAATATATAAAAGAAAGATTGTGTATAAGGATATAGTACAGGAAGAAAGAATTAATTCGTAGAAAGGAAGATATGAAACGATTTTAATCTCACCATCTAAGGGAAGACAAATGGTATATACACCAACGCCATTGTGGTCGATTCTGAATCATGTTACCAAGTCTCCTACCATTGGTTACGATAGCCACGCGGACCCCAACCAAGTAGTCTGCATCTACCAATATGGCCAAGACTAGAAGTTAGTGACTTCAAGCACTGATGCCACGTTTTGGTTTGGCCGCTCCAAACTTTATTCCAACCACCCCCTACACTAATCCGCATTGCGCGTCGTGGTAAACGGTGTTCAGGCATACGCAACACGTGGCCCAACCATCTCAGTCGATGAAGATTCACAACCTCATCAATTGATTTACCATCATTCCCTAATACCCTGCGTCTAACCTCACTATTACTTACTCGGTGATCCCAGCAGATGAGAGCAATATTCCTAAGACATCTGTGATCGAATACTAGTAGCTTACGAATATCTCCCACTCTTAAAGGCCATGTTTCGCAGCCGTAAAGTAAAAATGGAATGAACTGCCACATAGTATACCCGTCCATTAGTCAATAGACGGATATGTCGCCTTCACCATAGATGACGTAAGTTGGGAAAAGCTAAACGAGCTTTTGAATCTGGGCAGAGATTACATCAGACTTTCAAGATAAGTGAAGCTATCGACGCGTTCGACTAATTCACTTCTTACCCTTAGTTTAGGTGCTGACGCAGACCAGTCCTGGAGCGATAACTTGTATTTAGAGGGAGAAAAGCGCATTCCAAACATCTTGGCATTGTTGCTTAGTGCTACCAAAAGACTCTGCATTTTGTCAGCGTCTTCGCCAGACAGGACTGTGTCATCTGCGAATTCTAAGTCGACAAATGGACCTTCTGGCAGGAGATCAATGCCCGAGAATTCAGTCCACGAGAACGTTGTTTCCATCAGCATGTCTATGATGAAGTTGAACAGAAATAAAGATAGTGGACAGCCTTGACGGACACCACATGAGGTTGCAAAAGCAGATGACAGTTCGCCATAAGCTCTGACTCGACTAGTAGTGTTCGAGTAAAGAGCCTTTACAAGGGTTATGTACTTCTGAGGTACGCGTTTCAATGACAGGCACTACCACAGAACCTCTCAGTCCACAGAGTCAAATGCTGCTTTTAAGTCAATAAAATATTAATCGAATGATAGATATTCAATGTCACACAGGTGCTATGTGAAAGTACCATCTATAGAAATTTTGTATTTTGTAGTGCAAACATGTCGGTGGCGTTGAGTATTTTATAATTCAGGGTTATCTTTAGCTTCGAAAAGAATGAGATATTTGTCACCACTTTCACACAGCAGTAAAGAAAATTAATTCTACAGGAAAGGACTCGTCTTATATATTCTAGCACGTCGAATAACCATATAGACTTAAATGTTTTATTTTAGTTATGATCGACGTAGCTTCATAGTAAAAGGTTCAAAAACTCTGAAATTGCTGATAATTTATTCAGTTTTGAAGATAGAGGTATTACTACATTATCATCGGACCTAGACATACAAACAAAATTAAGAGAAAATTAGAAACTGTACAAAGGTGTAAGTTGAAACACCGTCTGTGCAAAGCAATGAGAAATATGTTATTTCCTCTTTAGGCTTCTGGAGGCTGAGTCTGACGAATGTACTTTTTTTCTGGATGGTGACGGAGTCCGAGAACAATGAGAATGGCGATTGTGGGCTGCTGCTTGGTCCGGACTTCGTGAACGGTGTCGTTTGCGATTCTGTAAAATATAAACAAGTCAGAAATAATGACAGACCAAACGTTTCGTAACATAGTTAAAAATAAAGCTAACGATCTACGTCCAAATGAAAGATAATCAGTCATTTAGCGATACTGGCTTCACTTTGTTAAGATTTAATGCTAGAAAAGATAAAGTTTTGCAGTTGTAACTCAAGCATAATCTTATTGTGTTTTTATGGGCTTCTTGTCCAAACTATATTACAACAGAATGTTAAGACTATTAAGATTTAATTCCTTAATGTATTGTGTGCCTATCTACCTCAGGAAAACCGAAAAATATAAACATATATTAAAGTATTCACAATATCAAGGCCAAATATTCACAAAATATTAAGCTTATTTGAGTAGTATCGAATAACTCAAACTTTTAATAAACATTGCAAGTGAGGACAATATGAAAAAGTTGATAATTAAACAATAGTTGGGGTAACTCATTTAAAGTTCTGCTCACCGATTTGTGTGGAACATGTTTTTTCTTTGGAGTAATGGAATGGGACTGATTTGAAGTAAATGCCCCCGCATCGTCATCTTCAGTGGCTTCTCCTTCTTCCACATCTTCTAAATGTGTTGAGTAGCCAATTTCATCTTCTGTGGAGTCAGGCTCCCAAGCTGATGCAGATGTCCTCCGACGTTCGCTAGAGTTTCGTGAGTCCATTCTCATAGAAGGGCTATTATAAGTACTCCAGTCTCCAGGACCCAGGCTCCCAGAAGGAGAAGCATGACGTCGGCGAGGGCGATCGCGATCACGGAATGAACGCGGAGGTGAACGATCCCTTGAATTCCTTCGAGTAGGGGAGGATGACATATCACGACCTCGCGACTGATATTTAGATTGATGAGGTGTCAGACCACTTTTCTCCTTAATACTTTTGGATGGTTTGGATTTGTTACGATGAACAGATTTATGTCCTTTTTTATGTACAGAATGTTCATTTTCTACTAGGCTTTCTAAAAGGCGTTCTCTGTAACGTTGAATTTGCTGCAAAAAATTAAAATAATTTAAACAAGAATCATTGTTTTAATTAATAGTGTAAAAAATTAGAATTCATTAGTGGATAAGGGTGTAAAAAAAACTACGTAGTACATTGTGAGTCTCATACGAATCAACGTGATTAAATTGACTTTTGGCTGCAAACAACTCTGAAAGTGTGTGAATAAATGATCTGAGAATGAGACCTCGTTTAGTTAGTAAACAGAGATGAAAGTACATTCCCCGAAATAGTTACAACGTAAATGTTTACAAACGAACGCTGATCTTAAACCTTCTATGAAATTACAGGTAATATATAAAGATTACAAAACCAAGGAACTTCAAGTCAGTGTTGAGAAAAATATTTCATGGCATACTATTGCTTAATTAAAAGTTCTTAACAGAACTTATATATCATAGGTGATTATAATGTCTGAACGTGTTGAAATGATATCGATAATGACAGAAAATAAAAAGTCTTAAATCTAAGTATGACTACTTACCGTATACAACAGATAAAAAAAAATTACTGTAAAGCATAATGACAAATGTGTACCGACAGAAACCTCTCTTTATTTACCTTGTTTATAGCTTCATCCGTAATAGTTTTATCTCCTTTACGACTTGCCTCCAACTCATCTTGATACTTTAATACCTTGAGTTCAACTTCTCTTAAGATAGCGCGGCGCTCTTCAGAAACAGGTGTCGTTGTCGAAGTACTACTAGGTGTTGAAGAAACATGAGAAGTTGTGGAAGTTACGGGAGTTGGACAAGGAATTTGAGAAACTGGTACAGGTGAAAGACTAGATTCACTCGCAACTGGACTGGTAGCATCTTCGTCATCATAAGCCACAAGTCCTCCTAAAATAGGTAATGGTCTAAAACAAAATACGTAAACGAAAATGTCCATCACTAAAAGAGCCAGATTTAAAAGAACACAACGTGCCAACTTATTTCCCAAAAAAACTAATTCGCATTTGCAGAAGTACTGCTAAAAGGTCCTAACAATAAACATAAAATAAAAAATAATGAAGTAATAAATTAGATATACATACGTATGAAAATCACTGCGAGAGATGACTGATATTTAGTTCCCAGAAAATGTGCTGGTAAAGGAAGCTTTGAAGTCATGATCTACATCGGAAAATTTGCTGAGCCACTGAGACCTAGTGTAACACTGTTCAGAGAATCAAATAAATACCGACTAAAAACGAAAATTTAGTGCAACTAAGCTATTGAATTCAAGACCACACAACAAGGTTGACTAATAATTATTTATGATAAGATTTCACTTAGTACTTTTAAACGAATTCAATAGTCCATAATTTCTTACAAAATTATGCAAAAAGGTGGAACGTCAGATTTGAACCCCACACAAAACACTAATTTTCTACAAAACAGGTATGTGGGGCGAAAATATTAAAAGCACTTCAAATCAAATTCTTTATCACTCAGATTTTATTGTATGTACTGGAAATCTATATGAATTTTTATTAAGTAGAGTACTAGTCAACTAATTTTAAACAGATTGCTGATAAATGTATCCATCAGAATACCTTTAAAAACATTATCTTCAATAATCTACCAAATATTCGTACAGTTGTTTCAACTTAATTACTGCTTTATGTTCAATTAGTCATAATCAAACCTATGTTTAAAAATCCCTGATATTAAGTTATTAGTTAAATTTTTTGTTAATATAACAGGGTAAAATAACAATTTGAACTTTGCAGCTCATCTTAGAATCACAAAATGACAGACGATTGGTCTAAAACCTACACACTGAGTATGTTAAACATTTTCCGTTAGGCTAAAAATATTAGTAACAGGGATTATAGACTTGAAATCTAGCTGTAATTTAACAATGTATGAAGAAAGTATCACTTACTCTCCATCTACATCATCATCTACTTTATTTGTTGAAGCATTGTTACTCCATCGACTTGTATCAAGTGGGATTCCATTAACAACTTCAGAAGGAAGAAATGCTCCCTTATTTAAACCATTCGGTTGGTTCTGAAGGTGATTAGGTGTATTCTGAATGTTATCATTGGACTTGGAGATAGATTGGTCTTTTTTCGTATCTAAAATAGAAGTGGATTCCCATATACTTGCGACCGTTAATGCCTCCGGTTCAGTAGTTTCAACAGTTTCCCATTTGCTTGGAACAAATAAACGATTAGAAGTATCCCCGGATGGTTTAACTTCATCCTCTGTTGTAGTTGCACTGAGCTGCGAATTCTTAGGGCTATAGAAGGATTCAATAAATTCTTATTTATACAGAATTAAAACAAGATTGAGCAAAATGTTAGATTGCCCTGATGTATTCATATAAACGAAAGAAATAGATTTAATGACTAAAATCGAAACAGAAATCTCGTACGAATCCCATCATGAAACTATAACTCCCGATTAGCATTAGGCAAAATTGAAGCAAGCCGTATATGAAAAAGGATATACAATAAATGGTTAATTCATTATCTAAGAGTTCAATGAGTATATGTAAACACTAATAGTAAACATAAAATTTATGACAACTTCCAGTAGATTATATCCAATGACTTTTATCACTCAAGTTTATTACCTAAAATATCAAACACGAAATAGCAGTCGAAACCATTGTGTTGAAGAGTAAAGCTATAACCATTAAAAGAAACACATTTTACAGAACCACGCCCCCAAATGCCCTGGTACGGCCGAGAGTGGGGTGGGTTCTCCCTCCCTCTCGAAATACTCTCACATGGCCACGCGTATATAGCCTCCGCCACGGAAGTCCTACTCACTGCCTTCTCGTGGCGAGGGTGTTGTTTACGAAAATGAGAGGACGAAAAGCGAACGTCCGGCGCTATAACCGGATCCCAATTCTATGGTGCACATGGGCTCCAGTATCCTGAAGGAACAAATGGCGTATGAACCAATTTCTTGGTCACCGGCTACCATGGGACTGCATCTCCTCACGATGCTCCACTGCCTTGTGGGTCAGACGTTCAGGTCGAAGGCTCGGGGTGTGGCCCCCTAAGAAACCTACCTGCTTCGGTCTGGGCATCCGGGTAGTATCGCAGCCCTCACACATATCAAATGAGATGTGTGGCGCATATGTATTTGGTGCCTCCTTGTACCAATATCTATGTGTTAAAATAAAATAATATTTACAGAACCATACAATAAGCCTATAAAACAAAAGTTTATTTGCATTGCAGTATTATTCTCTCCTGACAAAAGCTAAGTAGGTAGTAATTGACTTATATTCCTAAAACACTACAACTAATATATTTATTTATTTGAACACATAAATATTGGTATAAAGGGGCACCGAATACATATGCTCCACACAAGTCACTTGATTTGTGTGTGGGCTGTGCCCAGACAGAAAGAAGTGGTTTTCCTAGGGGGTACACTCGGAGCCTTCGATTTAAAGGTCTGACCCACAAGGCAGTGAAGAAAAAATAGTAAGGTTGCAACGTGGTCAGATTCGAAACAAACGATAAATACTTATTGCTTAAGTTCAAAATGAAATATTCCACTAGTTGTAATATATATACTCACCAAAAATAGATGATTTCAGGCAATAAACAGTAAGTGAATGTTATAAGAGTACTAAAACTCATGTATTTCAAAAACCACAAGAACCAATACGAAGTAGTTATCACGCTTGGTTTTTAAACTGATAGACACACAAGCGGAGAATCTCGCACAAAACTACATCGGTTCAGAAAGTCAAAAGAGTACATAAAAAGAAAACCGACGAAAACTCTGAAGCAAAAATAAAACGAATCGAAAAGAGAAAACGGCGAGAGGAAGGTTTAGGGGAGATTCAATCCGATTTAAAATAGTGGGTCATGGATTTCGGCGCGGAATTCATACATATGGCTAAATAGCATTTTAACATTATAGCTGACGTTAGAGTTCGTGATGAGAACCCTAACTCTACTTCTTAACCACAAAACCCAACTGTGAATCCAAATCCCAATTCTTAACATTAATTATAGCTCTCATTAAACAGTAATAAGTGAATATCCTGAAGGTCATATATACATCGCCCAAAGGTTGTCCATAAATTATACTCTCACCGAATAAAATCCCGAAGAGTAAAAAGATGAAGGGTGAATAAGTTTGTGTCTCAGTGATGTTTTTAACAATGCGACCACTTACTTTTAGTATCCTAATTAAGAAACGCAAGAGTAGAGACCGGAAGTTTGTATTTTAATAACCTAACAACTTGTAATCTGATCAGTTTAACAACTCATATCTTTCAAGCCTGTATACACAATTTATTGTGATAATAGTCGACCGAAAGGGTAGTAAAAAGCATAACAATTTTTAGTGGCATACCGGACTGGTGAAGGAGACCGATCATCTTCATTATCTAAAGGACTACCATCAACATCCAAGGGATCTCCATCATACTGAACTAATGGTTGGCTTTCTAGAACTTCGACATCCGGATTTAAAAATCCTATTTTTTTTGCCAAATCTTGGTTTTGCTCATCTTCATCCAAATTTAATGGAATACCTGACAGGTCGGCTTCATAGTCAACAGCCTAAAATGAATCAATGGATTTAAAAAGAACTTAGTATAAGGGTAATCTAATTTATTATTTCAGATCATGAAATCTGTAATTTTTGAAACGAATGGAACAATAAACTACTGATAACACAGTTGCTGCAAGCCATATTATGATTGTATTATAGATTTTCACCCATAACACTAATTTTCAATAGGCTTGCCCTCAGTCATATAATCTCAAATACACACCATCGTAAAGTAGTTGTTGTGACTGACATTTCCGTACCTTATTCTCAAAAATAACAAAAAATATTCATGTCGACGCTCTTAACGGAAAGCAGTAATTCTTTTTTAAAACAGCTATTATTAGATCTGGATAGTTATTTGAATTCTGGCATAGACTTTTTACTGATGAATATAAATACTGAGATTGGAACGATTTTAAACCGATATTACGAATTGCTGCGTAGAAAGATTTTGAACATTAATTAGGAACTACAGTTTAACACATTGAAGTTTAAAAATTGGAAATAAAACTATGAAGCTTAGATGTTGACAACTACACTAAAAAGGGTCCCGAATTCAAATGTACAAATCCGTAGTTTGTTACAGAATTGCATCAAACTAGAACCAAACATTGATGAGGACTATGTAATATGTCGAAGAAAACTCACCTCGGACACCAAACCCAAGAATATATTCTGCAACTTGATGAGGAATTCATTCGGATATACGGCCCAATCTTCCCACGCACGGAAACAAAGCATGACTTTTTGCTATAGTTATAATGTATGTAATATGTGAAACATATAAGTTACCTTCAATTGTTCAGCTTTAAGTTTCCCCTCTACATTTTTATAATGCAAATTCAGGTTTTTGAACATATCTGGTAAGCAAGTTTCAAAACTAGATACAGAAAGAATAAAATGAAATTGATTATGCAACTCAATATAGTCATATTTATATTACTATTAAAAGTGAAAGATCACATTACTGAAGAGAGAACAGATGAATATGTAAATTTACATAAATAAATATATACGTAAACCCAAGCCAAGCTATTGATTGACGGAGTCAAGCTAAAAAGTATTATTATAAGCACAGGATTTGAAAAGCTTTGAAAAAGCTATTCAGTTATTTTTAAAAGTGATTCGACTAAGATTGATACGATGAAGATCAAGCATTGAAAATACTTGAAAAACAAATTATGAAATGTGTTAAATAAATTTTCACTAAGTTATTATTTTTAACTAACAACCTACTTAAATATATTTCCTAATAAGTAAATAAATAAACAAGTGTTACCAGTTATATGAACGCACCACTTTCGAAAGAAAGAAGCATTTGGAACTTTAGCTGACGAATTATATAGTATATCAGAAGCCAAGAACAAACGAGCGACCAATTTATTTATGCTTATAGATTGAGATTTTTCATGCTCTGCAGAATCCTGGTCGGATTTCAAGTCTGAGATAGGATTTTCATCGGCTGAATTTGTTTCTTTTTCCAAATGATTTGAAGTGAAATTCGAATTTGGAGCAACTGAATCAACTATACACAAGGCGATATCGGAGGCAGAATCCGCGTGTTCCAAACACCACACCATAACCTCGCCTATTTTAATGCGACAGGGTTCAAGATCCTCCAGCATTTGAGTAAACCGACCTCTTTGTGCCTCCGTTAAACCACAACGACGCGAAGCGGCAGCAGCTTCTAAACGAATTTCTTCTTGCCTGCAATAATAGGATTGACATAGGAGTTTTCCAAATTCAAATACTCAGAATGCTAAACAAGAATACTTTTAATCTTAGTGTAAGAAAAACTAACAGTGAAACCCTTAAAGTGTACATGAGTATGGTCAATTTTATCATCGTAATTACCAGGAAAAGTTTGAAATAAATGTCAGTAAAGCAGTAGGGATTTGTGTAATGAGCTTTGGGTGACACTTGTGAACAATTGTTGATATCAGCCTGCTACCCAAACCGAAAGCAAAGAAGTTTGAACATGTAAATACACAATTCGATGGCCGAGCCATCTTTTAACCAAAATCACTTTTAAAAACATTCTAGAGTATTCAAATTACTTCTGTTTGAAAATTGTAGAATGTTAAACACTAATTGTCCTACCTTGAAAAACTTTTTCTCCTGGTAGAAGTTAATATCACTGGTAGACATCAGGGATATGCATCCACGAGTTTATGGACCACAATAAGTCTTTTGGATCGTTAACTCCTAAATGATCGCGAAATAGACTTTAACGACAACGAAAAACTTAAAACTCCTTGAACAGAAGCTGAAACATCTTAACAGTGATTAACTAATGAGTGATGAATGCAATTTTTAGAACAGACAATAAGATCCATATGTTTGAAAGGAAATGTAACATCTCCACTTTATATTACCTTTCAATGAACAAGGAAACTAGTGTAATTGAATAACAAGAAAAACCATTGTCTGAATAAACTACTCACATTTTAACCATGGCGAAAATATATACATGTTTATTGAGTATTCAGTTTCCATAATATGCTTTGAGAGGAACTATGGAAAAATATTAGGCCAAATGACAATTAAGACTTTAAAATACAGAATTTTAAATAGTAATGGTAAAACTAGTAAATTTAAATGAAGAAACAAATTTATGATATGAAGATAATAGTGGGATGGACTAAGCCGAAACAGCTATTTATACTCACAGGTCTTCAGATTCACGTCTTCTTCCAGAAGGCGGTGGAACATATCCTGGAGCGTAAGGATAATCATCTTCTTCAACAAGGTCTTCTGGCATGCCACCAGAGAATAAATTAACAGGAGGTGGACGCCAAAGCGGACCACCTTCAAACATTCGAAATTCTTCTGTACGCCATTTGGTTACACTTTCGCCCTTACACAATAAACATATAGACAACATAGTAAATTCAAAGTATTGTGAAGAATAGTAATGAGGTACCAAAGTTATAAAATCACGATTAAGAAAAAGTTTAATGAAGATACTGTCAATGTATAATTTTACTAATTAACCAAAGAGAATTCATTCAGGCTTATCGACACAGAATATACATTCTGAGTGTAACTCAAAAAAAAATATAAATACTATATCAGGTGAATTAGTATCAGTGAATAACAAAGGGCACTACTGATTAAATTGAATTTGAAAGGAAATATTTCAAACTATGTTCACCAAGCTGATAGTTTTTGATAAGATTGTAATACTGATAAACGAAGATTTCAAGGTATATATGTTACTTCAAAAATTCTGCTGACACAATCTAAACCGTTATTTATTTGCGTTCACTTTTCCCTAAGCTTTGTCAAACGGAAAACCCCACACTTTTGTTTTCTTTTAGTTACCAAAGTGCAATTATTACTCCTATTTGATCACTTTATTAACTGTATTACAAACTTAAATGAATATTATCAAGTTACTGATATTTGCCTTTTCTTCGTTTAATACTTTGCGTGCAATATTGGATATAGATCGGAGTATCCATCTGGCCTATAGCCAATGTTTTAAATTCATGCCTATATAAACGCAAGCACTTGATTCTGTAGCATGATTCAAAAAATATTTCCGATAAGATAAACTAACGTATGTAATTTACTTACATCTCAGCTAGAAGACAAATCTTGTTTGACGTTTGACTAAATGCGCTACTGGTGACATCTGACGACCTACAAAAAGCTGAGTGTACTACACAACAGTTTAACTTACTTTACCCCAGGAATATGGGACATAGTTACTGAAATAAATTATTTGCCGTGGATTTGACAAATAGCTATACATTTATCCAGAAGTGTTTGATATAATAATTACTCTTAAAACTGTGATTCGAAACACATGTGGTGTAGGATATAAGCACCAAGAGACAACACAGAAAAATTACGAAGTTAAAGAATAGAGAGTGAAAGAAACGATAAGGAAGAGGTTGCACAACAAACGCTAAGGAAAGCTTTTTGTTTGTATTACTTAGACATTATTTTAGTGTTAGTTGAACAAATGTTTACAGATAAATGCTAAAGCTGATGATTATGGTTAAAATCAGTTCAACTATAGTTTTATGTACAAGATCTAAAATTTAAGTAACGTCATATTACTTTACGGTACTTTAGGAAACATTCGACTAGCAGTAATGCTGACGAAGCTTTATGCAGATAGTTTATTCCATTTGCAAAAACGATAAATAATATCAATAATAATAAATCTAAATTCATCAAACCGTGCACTTATTTCCTAGAATACAGAAACTGAGAATTAAGTCATTAGCTGAACGTTTAATCACCACGAGAACTCGACGGTTATAGGAAGATTTGATTTAAAAACAACATTATTATTTACGATAAATTGACTGATATTCGCTGGCAAATTTTGATTCTCAAGAACCTGCATCTCTCGTATCGGACTAGTTTACCTAACAGTATGGCAATATGCAATGTTAATAAAATAGAAATCCCTTATTTTTTAACGCACATTAATGTTACTATTTATATCAACTGGTTGTGTAACAATTTAGTCATTTCCATTAAGTAACTTTTCCAAAATACTTCCTGATGATGCCCGTAACTATGACTACAAATATTAGGTAAACGAGCTGCAAACTTACATGTAGAACAGACCATAACTTCCAGCGATAGTATACATGATCCGAAGACTGATAATCAAAAAGGAATCTAAATAACGTATCAGTTAAGAACATAATTATTAAACACAACAGTACTTAAACATAGGATTATTTGCTTCCCGATGCATAACCGCGGCCTCAAATTGAGGACCTTCAAGAACGACAAATTCAATCATGCGATGAATCAGAGCAAGTATGGATCTGAATTTTGAGAATTAGAAAAGTAAAAATGCTACTAACGAACACTTACCTATCACTTGGCATAACGACCTTAACCACCGCTTCACGGAGAACCTTTAAATTGACAGAAAAAGTACGAGTGAAATGAAAGTTTAGATCATGTTAAAAGTATATATGACTTTATAAAGTTTACAGCACGAAGTTTTCCTTAAAACATTGTAGATAAAGAACACCAAAATATATCCAACATTTGGTCACGAATTAAAGACCACTGATATATTCATCATAGATTTTAGCTGTTTTATTGCTATACACAGAAAAAGACTTAATGTCTGCTAAACGATGACCAACTTAATGAGTAGTCCCAAAGTCAGAACTGAGAGGAAAAGATCACATTTCTCAAAAGGCGAAATCTACCCATGAATTAAACGGATTTTGAAATATGGATTAGGAAATAAAACTAAAAAACAAATAACTAACTTGACAAATATGCTATACAAGTAAGAATGCTTCAGTAGATAAAAACCAGTGAAAAAATTAGTTTTAAATACTTCAAAACTAAACTGACTGATGCGATGATTACCTTATCTCTAATTATTGTCTAAAAAACGTACAGATTCTTGAATATCCCCAAGTGGAAATGAAGCGGATGAGCACAAAACTTTACAGAATTATACATGAATACAGTTACGACGAATAAAAGATCATCCTAAAAACTCACACATCCAAGACCAAAACAAGACATTCGAGAACACAATTACTTAGCTATAGCAGCCTAATATTATGAAACCCACAGGCAGAATATGCTTATTACAACTACCACGGTCTTTTATTTATTTATTTATTTTAACATATAGGTATAGGTACAGGGAGGCACCAAGTACATATGCGCCACACGAATCTCAATTGATTTGTGTGAGGGCTGCGATACTGCCCGGATGCCCAGACCGAAGCAGGTAGGTTTCTTAGGGGGCCACACCCTGAGCCTTCGACCTGAACGTCTGACCCACAAGGCAGTGGAGCATCGTGAGGAGATGCAGTCCCATGGTAGCCGGTGACCAAGAAATTGGTTCATACGCCATTTGTTCCTTCAGGATACTGGAGCCCATGTGCACCACTGGTTTGGGGTCCGGACAAAGCGCCGGACATTCGCTTTTCGTCCTCTCATTTTTGTAAACAACACCCCCGCCACGAGAAGGCAGTGAGTAGGACTACCCTGGCAGAGGCTATATACGCGTGGCCATGTGAGAGCATTTCGAGAGGGAGAGCGGACTCTCCCCACTCTCGGCCGTACCAGGGCATTTGGGGGCCCAGGGTCTTTTACTATTAGGTTTAAAGAAACAAAACCAGAGATTTTACGGTTCGCACTATCTTGATGAAACGATTGGTTGTAAATCGTTTTCCTGATTTATGTGAATTCCGGTAGTATATTAAGTGGACATAGAATCCGTACTTAATGAAGGTCGACAGAATGATTTTTCATTAGCGCATGGGTTACGATTACTGTGAACAATCCATCTAGGAAGTCAGATGATCAATAGTATAATCGATTAAGCTATTAGTAGATGTGTTAATAAAGTCCTTCAGTAACTCGGTCAGATAAACTAGAAATAAATAAGTAAACGAAAACTAATTTTATCATGCACACAATTTTCACGGAATAGACCAAACTCAGAAAACTTTTATTTTGGCAGCAACCGTGATAGAGGATATGATAGTCACTCATAATATGTGAGAAGTGTCTCATTCCCCTTATCAAAATTTGACAAACCAAGGAAACAGGGCAAAAACACATGACCTGAGATGTACATAGAAACAATAAACTATCTGTACATTAGTAGGTCTGGAATAAGGAATGTATAAAACTGTCACTTGTATTGTTTTAGAAGCACGATTTTCATAGAAGGGGTTTTAAAGCATGAACAATTTGTCAGTCGGTTACAACGTAGAACCAGACAACTATATATACATCGGTTCAAGTTGCCACACCTCATTAGCACAACAAGATGAACACCAAATTCATCAAGTAGTTACTTCAATGGTAGTAATATATAAAAGAAAGATTGTGTATAAGGATATAGTACAGGAAGAAAGAATTAATTCGTAGAAAGGAAGATATGAAACGATTTTAATCTCACCATCTAAGGGAAGACAAATGGTATATACACCAACGCCATTGTGGTCGATTCTGAATCATGTTACCAAGTCTCCTACCATTGGTTACGATAGCCACGCGGACCCCAACCAAGTAGTCTGCATCTACCAATATGGCCAAGACTAGAAGTTAGTGACTTCAAGCACTGATGCCACGTTTTGGTTTGGCCGCTCCAAACTTTATTCCAACCACCCCCTACACTAATCCGCATTGCGCGTCGTGGTAAACGGTGTTCAGGCATACGCAACACGTGGCCCAACCATCTCAGTCGATGAAGATTCACAACCTCATCAATTGATTTACCATCATTCCCTAATACCCTGCGTCTAACCTCACTATTACTTACTCGGTGATCCCAGCAGATGAGAGCAATATTCCTAAGACATCTGTGATCGAATACTAGTAGCTTACGAATATCTCCCACTCTTAACGGCCATGTTTCGCAGCCGTAAAGTAAAAATGGAATGAACTGCCACATAGTATACCCGTCCATTAGTCAATAGACGGATATGTCGCCTTCACCATAGATGACGTAAGTTGGGAAAAGCTAAACGAGCTTTTGAATCTGGGCAGAGATTACATCAGACTTTCAAGATAAGTGAAGCTATCGACGCGTTCGACTAATTCACTTCTTACCCTTAGTTTAGGTGCTGACGCAGACCAGTCCTGGAGCGATAACTTGTATTTAGAGGGAGAAAAGCGCATTCCAAACATCTTGGCATTGTTGCTTAGTGCTACCAAAAGACTCTGCATTTTGTCAGCGTCTTCGCCAGACAGGACTGTGTCATCTGCGAATTCTAAGTCGACAAATGGACCTTCTGGCAGGAGATCAATGCCCGAGAATTCAGTCCACGAGAACGTTGTTTCCATCAGCATGTCTATGATGAAGTTGAACAAAAATAAAGATAGTGGACAGCCTTACCTGACACCAGTTGAGATTAGCTATAGCCTTCTGAACTTCGCTAGAGTTTGGGTACCTACTTCAACGTTTCGTTCAGGCTGTCTGGGAATGGTGGGTAGTTATAGACTAGCCGAAGGCCAGCTGAACTGATCCTTATAGTGTCCCGCCCGTCGTTTAAAACGTCTGGGTTGAGAGCAGATAAGTGTCGTCTTTTTCCGAGACTGTTTCACGCTTCACCAATTCATTGACTAAAATACATGACTGAAAATATATACTATTCACTATCACTTGGAGTCGGGCAATCACAGACTAGGGAGATTTGAATTTGATGAAAGTCGGGATATATGGGACGATAAACAGCGTAACTCAAGAAACAATAGAGCAGTTACTCGTTCATAAAAAATAATTGATTTACTGGTTTATTACTTCTAGGTTAGGCGAGAAGTTGCCATACAGAGGATCAATAAAGAGTCAGGGTTGACTCAAGATTGCTTGTGTTAGTTAACGTATGACAGGTTAAGCACGAAGTCATACAAGTGAATGTTCTGATTGACGATTTTCCCATGTGATATTTGACTGGCCATAGGACATAAAACTAAAAATTACTGAGGTATTCAAGACTGTAACTTATACAGTATGAATCTCACGATGTTATTGTCTTGAGAAAATTACAATACACGTGGTGCATGCCAAAAAAAAACATAATTGTTCCTAAGTATTAAAATTCATAGCTATTGGCAATCATAAACTAAACTATACCGAATTTCGACAATGAAACTCAGGTTCCTATTTAAAGTGCTCGCCTGGATTCAGTACGTAAGGTACGAAACATTTCTACTGAGAGTAAACCGTTTACTTAATAGAACTACAGTTGCTCAAGTAGACTTTGAAAAAGTTTTTAAACCATATCAATTCATCAAATTTCTGTAAGATTACCGATAATTGAATACAATCTAGCTATAATGAATCAGATTGGGACAACAATATAACAAAAAGGACTCCAGTCTTCCCAGCCAAATCAGTATATTAATTAATAATAATCGTTTAGTAAATGCTAAACAACTAAAATGTGAAAAAACACAATTCTCCAAGTCATTCAATATATTTCTGTGAAAGCTTACTATGACGATACTCAACAAATCACTAAGCCTAAAACACACGAAGAATTAACAGATCACTATCGAGTTTTCGGTTGAGTATACATCGTACGAATGATGATATTTCCCAGTGAATAATCCATTTAATACTTAGTTTTGCAAGAAAGAAAAAACTCTAAATACTAACTTCAGTAAGTTCTTCACTCGACATTTTATTTATATCGTATGGCTTTCGGTCTGGAGCTGGAGGTGGTGGCGCGCTGTCACCGTCTGCACCATCAGTTACAAGTTTGGCTCGCTCCTTGATCGCCAAGCGAAATGACTTCAACCACTCTCTAGGTTGGGCATTAAATGGTAGTCCACTTGGGGGAGGTGGTTTAACCAACTCAAGCAATGCCGGAGGAATGTAAACTGGGTATAAAGGGATCGGGACGCTTTTCCCCCAACCTAATTTCATTTCAAATCCCATGAGTTCCTTCCCTGTAATGCAAAATATGTACACTACATTATTAAGTTCAAAGATCAAAAACTGAGGAAACAGATACACAGCACCAACCAAGATACTACAACATTAGTTTAACAAAGTAGTACACTAAGAGACTCGCCATACTAAAATTATTGACGAATTTCGTAAGATAATAAGAAATCATAATCCTAACAATACTGAATGATCTTTCTATAAGATGAATAGACTTAATCCTATTTTACTGCGCACGTCGAATAGAGAAAAGCGAAGTATTCCTAGAGTGAATTTGTCACACCTGGTTATATGATAACCAAGATAAGACAACAAATGCTAATCAAACGAAACTGACTTTGTTTTCCAGTACAATCTCGCAAACTGACTTTCGAATTTTACTACCGATATCAGAAGACAAAAACCACACTACACGACTTTCACGGACGAAACGTGCTTAAAACACAGAAACTAAGGCCCAAAATACTGACCTTTACTTTTCTCTGACAATGTCGATGGATAAGCGTTACTAGCACAAGATTTACACAGTTCTTTGAAGATGAAAATAGTTACTTTTATTAAAACACACATTGGTACAAGGAGGTACCAAATACATGAGACATACGATTCATATAATTTGCGTGAGCCCACTCAACGTTAACTGTTAGAATATGTAATATAACCATAAAGAACAAATACTGAATGTTGCATATCTACTTTCTTGGGAACAAATGCATTTTAAAGATACACGGTCTTTAGCTACATAAGGATTGGTTTGCTTGCCTACTACGAAGGTGAGAAGATGCACAGCTGTATGACGCGCTATCTAAAAGGACAGTGGTATTGTTTCTCGTTGAGTTAATTAACTGTTTTGATCGTAAATTACGCATCAAAACTACTGTTTACACTTTAATTGAATCTACTCCAGTTAAAGTGATATTGTATTGATTGTTTTGATTCTGCTTTGTGTAATTATTGCACCAAAGCATACTTGGTCGACTTTTATTTGATAATTTAGTCAAGGTTTTAGCATTTTTTTTTTTACATATCCTCTTTGTATCACCTTTGTATTTGGTTTTCAAGATGGCCAAATCGGCTCATAAATGTGGACAACCATGTTGCTTATTCCCCGTGGAGGAAGGGATGCAATGTGATGAGTGTAAGAAGTGGTTCCACAAGATGTGCACCCGACTAAGCCCCGCTGCATATAAAAGGTGCTCGAAGCCCAATTCTCATTGGCTTTGTAGTTTTTGTTGCTCAAACAAAACAACACTCATCCAGGAAGCCATTAGCCTCCTGGTGTTGGCTAATAAGAAGGTCGACGAGGGCTGCACTGACAATATTGGTGCCGATAGCGAAGATCGCGTTAGTGTCGTAAGTGCTGTCACGGAGCGAGTCAGACATCTAACTGCGCAACCCGAAATCAAAATTTTTACCTTGAAACAATCAATGAGTGACACCTCATTAGATATTGGTGGCCATGTTGCTACAGCAGCAACTGGTGATCCAGATAAAACAATTATTGTCCCGAGCAGTTCCATTGTAGATGCTACGGCTGACGGAATATGGATGAAGTGTAAACGCAGAAGAGTAGGAAAAACAGCTAAAAGTAAGGACTGTTTACTTGATAAGTCTTTGGTGGACTCTCAGACCACTCCGCCAAAGTCCCAAAGTAAAGCCTCGTCAAACATTGTTGTGAGTCACTCTCTCGACTCCAATGACTCTGTTACAATAAAAACTAATCGTAAGATACCAGTAGTTAATATACAGGATGTTAGGTCACGATCGATAGCCGTTAACACGATTCCTAAAGAAACTAAACCACTCCCTAGCTTAATTATTTGGAATCTAGAGGAGTCGATAGACAACGATCCTGCTAAGAGACATGCACATGATCTGAAGTTAGTAGAATCCGTGGTAAGAAACGTACTACCTGAAGAGGTTTCAGGAGTACATATCACGAAAGTGATACGACTCGGTAAATGGGTTGGAGGCGAGACCCAACCAAGAAGGATCTTGAAGCTGGTTCTAGGGAGTTTTGAAGAACGAGATATATTATTGAAAAACGCACAAAAAATTCGTGATTCAAATATTCGTATCCGACCAGATTGGCCGCTTGAGGATCGAATCAAGTGGAAGAATGCTCTTACGGAATTAAGAACTCGCAAGTTAAATGGCGAAACTAACCTTACCATTAAGGGTTTTCGGGTAGTCAGGTCTTGGAAGCCAATGCTTCCGAGGCCTGTATGGTTAGAACGAATGATTACCAAAACACCTTAAGTGTGTGCTACACGAACGCCCGTAGTCTTAGGAATAAAACGTCCGAGCTAAGTCTGATGGTGGATGAATTAAGTCCCGATATAATTGTCATTACAGAAACTTGGTTCACCGTAGATATAGAATGTTCTCCCATCATTGCAGGCTATATCTGTATTAGAAGTGATAGAGTTTTAAGCCGCAAGGGGGGAGGCATAATGTTATACATTAAGGACCACTTTCGTATACAATCAATCATATCGGAGGCTCATGTTAGTGGTACATGTGAGGTAGCATGTTGTAAGATTAAATCTAGAAATGGGTTAGTGACTATAGGCGGAATATACCGTAGTCCGTGTTGTCTTGCTGACGACTTTATCTTAAGACACATCTGTTCTTGGAGTATGGCAGAATGTTGCCTCATCATTGGGGACTTCAACGCTCCGAACATAAACTGGATAGAGCTTACAGCTCCAGGTGGAGGTTTTGATAGCGAACTTTTATCAACAGTTATTCAGTGTGCACTTGTCCAATGTATCACTGAACCGACACATATTGATCTGAAACGTGATCCGTCACTGCTGGACCTCGCCCTCACCCACCACTGTGAGGACGTCTTTGATATTCAGCACCTTCCTCCACTAGTGAACAGTGATCACGTTGTACTTCACTTTAAGTTTAGGACACATGGTATACGATTTGTATCTGCTCCACCCCGTCCCAATATCTGGCGGGCTAATATTCCGGCAATCAGAGACTGTGCGATCTCTACTGATTGGTCGGTTGATGCAGATGGATCGATCGAAGACGAATGGATTAAGTTTAAGGCTACATTCGAGTCCGTAACGTCGCCGTTTATCCCATGGTCAGTACGTAAGCTATCGCACTGCCCTCCATGGATTAATAAGGAAACCCGTAAGCTGTTAAAGCGTAGGAAACACTTCTGGGACTTATTCTTGTTGACAGGTCATGCATCTTTTAAGCGTGAGTACCAAAAACTCCGGAATATTTGTAAGAAAACAATAGCTAAATCCCGTATTACTTACGAACGACAGTTGGTATATGATAGCCGTACTTGTCCAAAACGATTGTTTTCGTATGTTAAACGGCAAATAAAACGTAGTGATAGTATTCCCCCATTATTGTTACACGATAATTCAGGTTTACTAGCTGAATCAGATCGAGCAAAAGCTGAGACATTTTCAAACTACTTTAGCGAAGTCTACTCTACGTTTATTGTAACAAATACTTGTCCCAGTTACGCCGCGATACCAGCCATGGAATCCATACAGGTGACTGAAGAAACTGTCCTTTCGTTGATAATTAACCTCAAACCTTGTAAGATACCGGGTTCTGACGGGTTACATCCACGACTGCTGTCATCTCTTGCAGACATTATTTCAAAACCGCTCGCGACACTCTTTAACATGTCCCTTTCACTCGCTCAACTACCTAGGGATTGGAAAGATGCTATTGTCAGTCCTATATTTAAGGATGGTCAGAGACACATCGTATCTAACTACCGACCTGTCAGTCTGACTAGCATTGTCGTTAAGTTACTTGAAAAGATAATTCGGGTTAGGTTGCTAAGCCACATAGATTCATACAATCTGTTAGCTCCTGAGCAACATGGATTTCGTGATAAGCGTTCATGCTTGACTAATTTACTTATTGCGAGAGAGGATTGGACAGCAGCTTTAGATAAAGGTCTGTCTGTCGATGTTATATTCATAGATTTTAGCAAAGCATTTGACAAGGTTTCACACTCAGGTCTTATGCAGAAGCTCACAAGCTTCGGAATAATAGGTACTGTACAGGAGTGGATAGGAAACTTCTTACGTGACCGCAGACAGAGAGTGAGGGTCAATGGGACGCTATCCGATTGGAAGCCGGTCAAAAGTGGTGTACCCCAAGGCACCATATTAGGCCCTCTGCTATTCCTTCTCTACGTAAATGAATTACCGCTGTTGCTTAGGTCGTCGACATTATTATTTGCGGATGATGTCAAAATATGGAGAGCAATAAGAGGTGAGGCTGATCATCTGGATCTTCAATCTGACTTAGACGATTTAGTTAGATGGGCTCGAGATTGGGGTTTAGAAATCAATTCTAGGAAGAGTGTGCTAATGCACATCGGTCACGGCAATAATTACCATTATACTATTGATGGCAAACCTCTTCCATGCGTTCAAGAACATAAAGACTTAGGAGTAATAATAAGTCATGATTTAAAAACAACTGCGCACTGCAACGCAGCCGCTGTCAAAGGTTTTCGTGCGTTGTGGTCACTTCGCCGAGCGTTCAAATCCTTTGACGAGGAAATGTTTCGAATTTTATATCCCACCTATGTAAGACCACATTTAGAGTACTGTATTCAAGCAGCTAGCCCATGTCTGATAAAGGATACTACCTCACTTGAGCGTGTCCAGCGTGTGGGAACGAAATTAGTGAAGGGTCTTTCTAAACTCCCTTACGATGAGCGTTTAAAACGCTTAAACCTTTTCCCCTTGTCGTATCGTAGGACTCGAGGTGACCTTATACTGGCATTTCGTATCTTTAATTATGATTTGGGTGTTAATATGTCTTATCTTTTTGCTCCCTCCAGCACTAATAATCTCCGAGGTCATAGCAAGAAGATTCACAAACCACGATCTAATAAACTCAAGGTGGGGTTCCGTTTTTCTCATCGAGTAGTCAATGATTGGAACGCTTTGCCCGATCAAGTGGTATCAGCCCCATCAGTGAATATTTTCAAAGAGAAACTGGACCTTCACTGGAAGCCAACCTGTTAGGATTAACACAGGTTCACTAACCTACTATCCTTATTACTGAAGACTGAAGACTGTTAGTTATAAACAAGGCACGGGTTGGTGCAAATCTTTACACGTATGATGAAAGATAATTAGTATATTAACAAATGAACTGAGGATAAATTTAACATCTAAATTATATTCTAATACTGGTTCGAACCTAACACTTACAATCCATCACTTAAAATGCATAAATCAAATTTAGGGTCTTTAAGAGGAGACGCGTGCTTTGACGGACATTAAGAGAAAATAGTCAACTGGTGCAAATCACGTTTAAACTAAAAATAATACCAAGATAGACTGACCTCTAATGTTATCGAGGGCTCGTTCGCCATCTTTTCTATTCATGAAAGCAACAAATCCACAGTTTCTTCCTCTTGAACGTTCTTCTTCTGTCCTAGGCCACATTATTTTGACACTTGCAAGAGGACCATAACGACCGAAAGCCTCACACAGTTGTTGCTCCGTCATCTGAAGATGTGATGTACTGAATAAAATTGAAATACTTTAGGGTTTAGATTCCCAAGAAAAAGATTTGTCGTTGTTCTGTCACCATCGTAATCATAGGGGTAATCAACTAAATAAGGTTAACTATCGGAAATGGAAGCTACCATCATGACGATCATTTTGGCTGCGTTTAGAATAAAAGCTCGGTGGTGTCGACACTGTGTTGTGAAAACCCATGCCTGAATCTCCACCCTGATTATTCGAAGAACCCCTACGATATTCCCGATTACGCACACCAACATCGGAGAGATCTAGCTCAGACTGTGTGGAGAGTTGGTTTCTCCCTTGTCTTAATGCATGTCTTTGTTCTCTTTGTTGTTGAATCCTAGTTGTGGTCAAGTTAGAGGATTGTCACATGAACATACAATTTGAGCTCCTCTTTGAACTGTTCTAGCTTAGATTTTTTTTGTTCTTGTCCCTTGCGCTTGCCAAGAGCTGGCTACAAACAAGAATAAGGTGGATACTTTCTTACAGGCTTTTCAGTGGATTTTTTGAGATCTGCTTTATTTTGTTCCTCAGTTTTATTTACTCTAGAATCCAACTTTGAGACAGGTCTGTATATGCGGCCAGTTCCCTTCGTATCCTCTGAGGAGCCTATAGAAGTTGGTATTATCAACAACCAAACCTATATACCTGAGGACGGATTGACGACACCACCCTTAACCCAAGCTCGGGATTTGGAAGGCTCCTCAAAAGTGGCGACAAACTCCTCAAACACTTGTTGTGTATGCTCTTCCTCTTTCTGAGATTTGAGAAATTAATCAGCAGTAGACTAACCTTCTTCTTCTGATCAAAATCATTCCGCTTCGAAGATGACCTACTAGATTTGATCAGACTATTACCGTGCCCAGCAGATTTCTCGTTGGACTTCATTTTTTCACAGATGGCGCCATGAATATCATAAGTGAAGTAAAACGTGAACTTACTTATCTAACACTGGATAGCGCTAGTCAACAGCTTGCTTCATAGAAGAGCTCAACACCTTATTAAATATGACATAGAGCATACAAATTTCCAGATATATCACAAGAAGGACAACAGTGAATGGGTGAAACTCACCCGTCGTGTAGGTAGTGTGGGTTATGGTAAGTTTTGTCCAGGAGAAATTAGAAAAGTTATATCGCATAAAATTTTACGTGGCCAAAAGCTGGTTGTAAGTTTTCATCGTGAGACAAAAAGCTAACCTCCTGGGTTGTCTTTTTATACATAGGACATGATCTCGTTTTCGTAAAAGCAGAGAGAATTTCTTTATACTCTAATTAAATTGGGCTGCAATTTGGAGCAATCAAGGAAGGATTTTGCATAGCACAAATCCGGGATAAATATCCCTGACCAACTATAATTTCTTCATTTTGTAGGTAATGTGAGTGATCTTCCCTAAGCTTTTATGATCGTAAGGCACATCATTGAAATCACACCAGTTACTCAACAAAAGGCCTGAGAAGCATAGTTTACATTACACTGAACTAGACTTAGTATTCAACTTTTAGAGGTAAATAGATCCGAAAAATAAATAGTTCTGCTAGTTTTTGACACTGATGCTAACATCGTTAAATTTATTAGACTCATCCCTGGATTTAGGCGGTCGAGAAGGAAAACACACCGGATCCCGATTGCGTACACAGCACTGCGCATCTTCAACATCAAGTAGTCATGTTAGAGTACATATCTCTCAATACGTCGATCATCTTTCAAATATATCGTTGAACCCATGCATTCCTAATTGCTGGTTTTACCGGGTTGGGATCCTCTGTTACAAAGGTGTTCCAGACAATAGCCTTACCATGGACAGAACTTCCTTGTTATCCTTAAAAGTGATGGGTATACATACAACATATGGTCCAAACGGTTTGCCCACCAGTCCCGCATTACAATCACTCGTATTCAATAATAATTACTTGCGAGCAATCATTATTACAAAGATCCAGGAAATTAACAATAACAGCAAAATCATTTTAAGAAGTGTTTTGTGAATGTGTGTGAAAATATTACCAAGCATACTTTAATGTGTAACTTGTTGTTTTACTTTCAGACGTGAATTTACTCTCCTTGGTCAATTTAGCTGCACAGTCTGTTGACCTTCAGATATAAGACAATGCAGATACTACTTTTTTGTTGTTGTCTCAAATTTTCTCACGTTTCTAATAAATTTATATGGTTCTATTGAACTACTTCAATGTGATTTTACTTGAAACTTTGGTTATGACGACCACCATAATAATACGTCCCTACCTTTTAAATGAGTTGCTTAAACAAACAGGGACTGTTCACTTTATTACTGTGATTTGATACTTGATACCTGGAATGGAAACATTCTCTGTTGTTTCGTGGTCATATTTCTGACTCCAGTTAGATCGTATGATGATTGACACCGAAATATACGTGCCACCAATTATCGTACATAATTATCTACTTAAATCGCGTTATTGAATAACGGAATAAGTTAAATACGAGAACGAAGTTTGAACACGTATATTTCGTGCGCTCATTGATCTGAACAGACAATCAGGGAAATGCAGCGAAGGGAGCAAAGACGAGAGACGAAATAACGAGTAGTAATGAAGGCGAATGGGTCAACTCGTTTCGACCAACTGTGACTCAATATTTATGTACAGACCAAGAACAAGTTTCACTGACGTGATGAGCAGGGCACGCAGTTAACATGTATACGATCATCTAAAAGTAAGGGTTAATAAGCGAATAAGTAAAAGATCGGAATGTAGTTTGAGAAGAATAAATAAGTTAGTTTGTTCAGAAGCTAGACTGATCTATCTGAACTTGACGTAGTAGTATCAACTGCAGTTATAACGAGGAATTGAGCCTAAAGTTCCCAATAAATTTTGTTGAACTTTTAAAAACGAAATATTATCAGGCGGACAAACTAAACGTGATCTCTCTAGAAGGGTTAGCATAATATTCCTGATTTCACAGAGACGTTTACTCTTGTGATTGGTAATTATTTAATGTTCCTTACCAATTTACCTACCTAATGTAACTTTGACTTGATATTTTCAGTTAATCATCTAACTACTGTTTATATAACTAAAATGTCGTAGTTGTTAAAGTAAAAGTGTACATTTATATTTATAACTTAGTAAAGAAACTTTCCTGATCCGACCGTTTTCTTTAGAATTTCAACTGAGTAAGAGCATAAGTTTCTGAACCAAACTTGAAAGTTGTTACTAATCTTAAACTAAATTTGAAAATAATAACGACAGATAGCACTAGAACGTCTGCTGAATATTATTCGTGACACCATGTTCTTACCAAAAACTATAAAACGACGTGAAAAGTGTTAATCATTTCCGGAAATATCAGGCGGATATACTGTCCTAGAGAAATCAGATTTCGATAAGAAGAGTAAAAACAATAAATTAGACACGGTTGCTCCTTTAACACAAAGTTTTTCAGCTAGGTCTCTTGATCCAACAAACAATCAGTTAGTTGCTGCAGTGCACAGCAAACCGATTAAATGTCCGCAGGTAATCAGCAAATTTTCTCGCTGCATTTTTCGGGATAAGCCTTCTTCTCTGACTTAACGTGAAATGTTTTTTTCAAGCAAAATAGTAAACTATATGACCAAACTGCCCAAGTAAAATTCCCTATCTACTCCAAACACCGATTCATGGCTGAAGCAGTCTTCATGTACCTAGCTTGATAGGCGACGTTAAATTTCCCGGATTTTGTTGTAATAAGGATATCACTTTAGAAAAAGTTGAAAATAATGGCCTTCTCAGTCCCTGGTGCCCATCAATTCGTACTATTCCCCACTGTTGAGGTCAGAGAGAGTGTTGTAAGTCAGTTAGTTACTTGATCATAATCCTAAGGTAGCGATATCAGGGTGAGATTCTTTGCACATATGTTCAAAAATTGCTCAGGTTTGCATTCATGCAGCGAAGAGTTTAGCTGTGACGTAAATTTCAATTTAAGTTCAAAGTCCCTTTTTTCCATGTCTCACGTTTATTTGCTGGTTGAAATTATGATTCCCAATCATTTTTGCCCACAATCGTTCTTATTTTTCATGGTACCATTGTCCTTGTATGATTTCTCTGGTTAACTTCGTTTTGTTTTGCCCAGACAAATATCTCGGCCGTGGTTGTGGTGATTTTTTTGTCTCAGTAGTCTAAACTTTTACTGGCTAAATAACGAAGCGCGTTACGTTCTGACAGGAACACTGTTATTCTTTATTGGATTCAACTGTACAAACTCTGCAGTACCGATTGCTTCTCGCTAGGCTCAGAGAAACTGTAATTAATCAACAGTTGTTTCTGAACATTGGCGTCGAAAAAGTGAAGAATACTTAGTCCGAGGCGCTGTAAAAACCACATCAGACCTTCACGGGTCCTAGACACCACCTGAGATAAGATTTACTGCCCGAGGTTCGACACTAAAATGATATTGATGTTGATGAAATAGGTGTCTTATTTGTGTAGTATGTATTTAGTCTACTTATTCCGTTAAAAAGAAAATACAAACAAGTCGTCGAATGAAGAGATATTTTAGGAGTATTCACTCTATACTTCAGAACGAAAAGAGACAATCAAATTGCAATGTAAAACCGAGTGACAAATAGCGGACTCTGTAAGAAGTAGGTAGCTCTGTCTTCATAAGCATAAAACAGATACCTCTAAATATAAAGACACATATTTGTCAACGTATACACGCGTACAGAACGTGTTCAAGTATGCACGTAAGTAATTGTCAAGTGTAAATGTCAGTGATAGAACATATGGGAAATTCAAAATAATTTGTTTACATAAAGGTTGAAAGAAGTCGCGCAAGCTTTTGAAAACGGAGATCTGCCACAAGATGCAATGTCTTCATCTAGTTTTTAGAATTTGTTTTTCCCACTTTCATTCTTTATGAAACGAAAGTAAAATTCGGTTATTTTGTGGCGCCTCTGCCGATGGCTACGACGACCACGAAGTGTTTGCTGGTTTAATTCACTAATTTATATCCTCCGCTTGGTTGCCACTCTCATTTGAAGATAGCCATACCCTGAAATCCCACATCGCCGTCAGTTGCGTTCAAGAATAGACAGGTTTCAAGTTCATTTTCAATTTATTAAAAATTAATGTGAATGAACGAGATTGTTTGTTAGCACATGGGCTTTAAGTATAGCAAAGCTATCTTTTAAAATGAAATTTCGAAAATGAACTACAACACCCTGACACTCACTTTCAGGAAAAAGTATTGTGGGGTGTTCGGAGTTGGCAAGACAGAAGTTTGATCTCTCTTGAGACCATTCTCGTCGTCCGAAACCTTAAACTGTATTATAAGGCTACTAAAGCAGGTGTTCAGGATATAAATCCTGTCTGCTTCCGTCGTAATAACTTGGAGTCATTTTAACATCACGAAGCGTGAATATGTGAAATTTTTAAACTGTATCTTGAGACTGGTAATCTAGTGAGTTTTTACCGTCTATGACCACCTGCAACACTGCTACCGATTCTGATTTTCGATACCACCACCATTCTCTAATCACCACTGTTTATAACTTTTCATGTTAATCAGTGGAAAGATGAAATATTCATATGGAAAAAAGCTTATTTTTTCCTATTTGTAAAGCGATCGTTCATCGCCCCTTGATTAATATCTTTACATTTGAGGTCCACTTCTTTATGATCATTCTCGGTTGTTAAGTGGACGTAAACTCTTATGAGAACACCACTGACAAAACTATATTTAGTATAAAATTCTCAGTCATTTTTGGTGCCGTAATATCATACTAATAATAAGAAATTGCAGATATAAGATCACAATAACTCGGATAAGCTACAAAGTTTACTCAATAATAAGTGCACATAGTATTTACTTCATGGGCATACTGTAATATATATGCAGTTTTCAGCATCTTTTGAAGCACCGCATGTCTTCAGTGCCGTTTCCCATTTATTTTTGAACAAAACATTT